CCACGCGTTGCATCTTTTTCTCGTTTGGCAAATCGTGAGTAATTTAGCCTAAAATATGCACATAATCCATCTATTAATACGCTAAATCCACTACTCTTATATGTCATCATTCTCAGAAGAACGGACGATGCCCGTTTTTCTCGTGCCACGTCAAGTGTGGAGATCTGCGAGATTGCAGGCCACGTCCTCCACTATATGTGCAACACGAGAAACACGTCTCAACCGCTTTTTTTAGGAAGGCGCGCCCACACATCGCACGAACGCTCGATAAGTGGTGCACACGAGGCGCTGTAAAAACCACGCACGGATTTCCAGGCGAATTAAGATAAAAACTCTGCTAAGGTACCTGAAATTCAGAAGAATGCTGGGAGCATCTCTAGTCAATCTATTGATGGACAGACGAAAGCTGAGCCTCGAACTGTCCTGCCACGCTACCCGTCGACCGCGTCGGCCTTAAAAGAACAAATCCACTTTTAAACTACTGAAAACGTCAACGGAATGCCTTCACGTTCATCGAAAAGGCACAGAATGCTCCATATCGATCTAAGAACTAAGATCCACACAAGTCAATACAGACATGGATTAACATGCTCTCTTTCACGGGACAGGAACATGACAGATATGCGTAACTCGGTCCAGATTGTCGTCAACGGTGCCCCAGTTCAGTAAACCAGTGCAAAACTAATAAAAATAAGAAGGTAAACGGCCCAGACCGCGATGACGACGACCATGGGCGTTTTTTTTGAGGTGCGGCGGGCGCGCGAGGGGAACGCGCAATGAAAAAATGGATGAAAAAGTGCCGGACGGAGTGCAGACGGTGTAGGGTCGGACACTGGCAGAGACGCAGAGCGAATCAGCCAACAACGGGAAGTGATCACCCCTCATCAGGCCGCATTTCTCAGTGATTTGGCGAAAATGATTTTTTTTGGCTGTACACTGTTTCTCGGATGGAAGCTCCGCCAGGTTCAGATTGTCCACTGATATTGGTGGATTTATGATTTCATTCCATTTTGCATGAGCAGAGGGCACTTTGAAGAAGAATCCCAGTATCCATTCGTTCGGTCTGGTGAGCGATGATCGATAACTGTGGATGGTTTCGAAAGAAAAGATCGTCTTTGAGCGGATATCTCTGAGATGCTCTCGTCAACGATAATAGACTACTAAAGTCCGTACCGTTAATGGAATGGGAATGAGAGGCTGCTTCTCTTAAACACTTCAAGGATTTCTGAAACTTCAACTTTCCATGATTTCCTAGTACAATTGTAAGCAGTGGAGACGTGTCCTAACGGGAACTAGTCATATGGGTCGCTAGAAGGTTGAGATAAAAGAGCAGCAGAGGCAAACTCTTCACACAAGGAGACAGCTTTGACAACGGACCCCTTATGGAACTGGATGAATCATTAGGAACGTGACCCCAGAACCACACCGATCGTTACAGAAAAGAAACGCTTTTGAAGATTTCAAATATGTTAATACCCATCTCATAATGAAAAGGTGAAATCACTTCTACTTTCCAACCCGTTTGATGGCGCAAGCGCATTTCTATCAAAGGTTTAAGGTCAAATGAAAGAATTCACCTGGACTTTCGTCGTCTCGTCTCGGAGATCTCAATTTCATCGTTCCGTTTTGGACCCACAGAAGCGTGAGTGAACAGACCTGGGTATGGATTAGCATAACAGGCCGGGCTAGTGGGATTTCAGTGGAGTGGTGGTAGTTGACAGTGCTTAGCACGCACTGATACAGCAAGGCACGGCGACCGACCGGCACCGGATTTTCTGAGGCATCTGAGGTGTCCCGATGTCGCCATGAACGAGACCGCCTGCAAGATTAGATCGACGAGTGGAAGCAAATTGGAAAAAGAAACGAAGAAAGTGAACAAAATGTGCGCTGAAATGAACTCTAAACTCCTCATTACATCGAACAAAGCAATTATTGAAGAATGACTGACTGAGAATGTTTCAGTGAGCATTTCTGACTGGTACCCTTGCAACCGTTTAAATTATGGCCCGTCTAATTCCGAGACAATTGACCTCGAAACGATTTCAATCCAACATCTCAGAAGTAACGGTTACTGCAACCCAGTCAACTGGAACATGGATTGAGTAGGGTTCTCCTATGAGTTCACTGGTTTATAATATTGCTGCCCTAATTCAAGATTTATGGGAAACGTATGCAAAAAGAATTTTAAGAGAATTTAGATGGAACTGACTTGCTGTGCACTTTTATACACAATAATAGGAATAGAAAAAAGCTGAGTATATCCTGATCACAAAAATCGGGCATGTCAATACATTCGCCAGACACTACATTTTAATATATTACAGCAGATATTAAGTCACGACACAGGAAGATGAAATCAACGTCATATCTGCTTGTATTTTTCAATTTTCTTTTCCCTGAAAGGATTATGCATTCGGAATGAAAGTTGAGGAACAGGAGACGTAGGAACGCCGCTCAAAATAAATAGTTCCTCTCAAAAACCAGCCTTTCTCATGGTCATGTCATAAGAAAAAAGTGAAAAAACCCGCTTCCTCGTCCAAAAAAACAATAATTCTTCTCTAGATCTTTTCTGTGTGGTCTCAGTTTGCTTTCCACCATTTTCTCTCGAATCATGACTGTCCTTCGCTTAGACGAATGATCTGCTGTGTGACAACAACTGTAACAAAGACATAGGCGAAAGAAAAAGGTAGGTGTAGGCAGTTAGAACAGCTTGGTGCTCTTGACGTAAATTTTGATGTACTTAGTTAGTGATGGCAAATGAAATATAGTGAGTACGCATTCAGATGGCCCTTCTTATCTAAACAACGTCTGTTCTTCATACGGTACAAATCCCGACATTTGAACCTCGTTCAAGCTCGGAATGATTCAAATCGCGGAATGTTTCTAACTCTCCTTTTTATTCCCGTCTTTGGATGATCGTTCACATTCGTCGAATGTATATGAATACCCTTATCGGCGTCCTACGGCATAATCTATCTTAAACAGCCGATTAACCGACTTATACTGAATCTCAGAATGGATAATCAATGCCTTCCTTTACAGATAAACCTACACGAGGTTGTTACAAATTTTATCATGGCTAAAGTTTCGGCGATTTCGCCTTCATTAGAATCGCGATGATTCGAGTCGACTACCCACAGCAGTTGTTCCCTCTTGCGATGTTGGACCTATGGTAAATGACCTATGAAGAAGAATCAAGTAGAGGGGAGCACTACACTAATGAGTTAACACCATCCAGCACTGCCCTTTTAAAACAAATCAGAAAGGGAAAAATTTGAGCTAAGTTTAAATTTTTGTATGTTCTAATGTTGTAAAGTTAGCCCACATATTGTCTATAACGACTATGAACCGGCGGCGAACATGTGCTTGTGGATATTTGGCTGTGAAACGTGAACAAAAGCATGATATATTTCTCATGATTCCTCTATATAGCGATACCGATGCCTGTCAAATCGTTCCATTATGGCGACTAATTGAAGAAATCGCTAGAGTCGCAGAAGTTTGCTGCCTTTCTGGGGAAATCTTTGCTGCACCGCTGCAACTTTCCTCCACATTTGTTGAAGTAGGTCATTTAAGGAGAAATTGCGCGCCTATCTTTAGGGCAAATTCCATTTTTTAGAATTCGAAGAACACTGGAAAAATTACGGGGCGTGCTTCATAGAGCGACGAGGTGAACCAACTTGCTTGTATTCTCTTGTTTCCTCTCTTGTTTCCTGCGTCGCAATGAGAATTGTTTCCGAAATCACCCTTCATCGGTAACCCACAAAATTACTATCGTACAGGTCAAGGATAAAACTTTCTCAAGCAACACACTGATGAAACCCTAAGGAGCAGTAGTTCCTGTGAATGGTATAATTTATCGCAAGAGATTTTTCATACAGCCCTTAGAATGCTATACTTTAGTTACGAGTTTTTTTTAAAATATTCATTGCTTCCATTAAGTTACAGCAAACGAGAAGATGAATAAAATCTTCAGCGTTAATCGATCCTTGAGAGAATATGTATCCGACTTTGTTAAGCATTATTAGAGGTTAATGAATGCATACCTGGCCTATATAACGACTTGCAGTAGTCCGCCGATGTATCAAGGCAGTGCTCTCACCCAGGCAAGTTTGGTAAAAATTTGCAGACCATGGGGTGATGGAAAGCTTGATGAACACAGTATGCAATAGCTAACCCACGACCATGTGTGTATTGAAGGGTACTCTAACGACTGCACGACACGTGCCAGTAGCAGATCATCATATGGAAACGAACTGCTGGTCATGACAAGCAGTCGTCTGTGAAAACGTCAAATTTATCCAATCATCAATACAGATTCTCTAAATGTCGGGCTCGCGCCATTTATATCCAATGAGTAAAAATACTAAAAACCTCTGTTTAGAAGCGAACTTTAAGCTAAGAGCACTCATTTACAAAATGCTGCGAAAATTGGTCCATCTGTTGTAAAACTCGTCGAGAACCATTCGCAAAACACTAAAGAGACATCAAAAGCGGCCAAATTTTAGACTGCTTTAGCTCAAGAAAGGTTCTAATTCTACGAAATCGAAGTCCCACTTCCAATAACTATCTAAGTTTATCCAGTAGAGTAGCCAGCCTGCTGATGAAATGGAGACTAACGAAGATGGATACAGTTATGAAAACAGATACAGATAGAAGCTGTAAGTAGAGTGAACCCAGATGAACAACGTGAACCTTCTTACGCGCACAGGATGGACAACCTTCGTGATGACTGCTGTAACAAAAAACGAAGATGGATGGCGGTTCTACTCGTCATTGCGTTGCCAAATTCGGCTAATCGTCGCTATAGGATATGAATCTATTCCGAGAAAAGAAACAGAAGATTCACATCAATGAATTTAAGCCTCTTTCTACTGTGAACATCAAACTTCATCAAAATAACCGTAGAAATTTTACCATGCTTTATTGAGTAAAACGAAAAAAGCGGACTAAAATTGTTGTCTGTTCGTTACTTCTTCTACATACATGATGAATATAACTTAATTAGTATTCAGATTACGTAAGATAATTGTGATCGCCCTCTGAACCACTGTAGTAACCATTTCGAGTGTACAGGTGGAGTCGAACGGCGGCACGTGAATGAACAGCGAACGAGAAGCGTCGTGGGAAAGCGAAATGTAGAACGAATAGGCGCACAAGTACCTGAAGGAATGCGACGCGTACATAAGTATGAACAAAGCTGTAACCGAAACAATAACTAAAACCTGCTACGCAAGAACTCAAAATGCAAAATGTTTTATGGTAACCGACAATAACCTTGAAAACAAAGAATATCTGACCTACAACAACACACTATGACAATGTGAGCTATATAGGATTCATATCTGGTCGATGGTTTAGCATTTCAGTCATTCATAGAGAATTCTAGTTCTTGGAATGAAAAGTGGTAGAATCTACAGTGAACCGCCAAAGAGAAACAGGTTTTCTTCTTCAACAGAACGAAGTGTTGCCTTTTGGAGCTATGCGGATGGAGGGCGATAGGATAAACGAGAGGGAAATGTGATGATTTAGAAAAAACGAACTTTTTTCAATTCGAGTCCCAAAAAAACAAACGTTAGAATTTACGCATTTCTAAATACAAATAACACATTTATTTTATTTTATGTGATCCTTCAAGTCTACGGTGCGGATCTCAGCACTTTTCACACTCGATTCGTTTCCTCGCATCTATTATCCACAAAGATCTTCCAACTTCTACATGTAGCTTTGGGTGCTGCTTAAGGATTTTCCTTTCATCTTGAATGTCGTACTACAAAAAACTGGCCGAGCCAATTCTTCCTGGAGTCTTGAGATAGCCGAGCTGGAGCGTTCCCAGTTGGATTGCACAGAGTAATTTTTTCCCGGACAAGTTCGATAGCAACTTCCCGACCCCGGTGTGATGACAAGATTGGTTAGTTCGGGACGGAATCGAACTAACACCATACTCGTGATGACCGACATCACCACCACTGTGCTATCCGCCCCTAAATAATAAACTACAAATATTTATGTATGCATATAAATACTGCGCTTTTAAGGGACTATGGGAGGTCTCCTCTAAAAATGTACTAAGTCCTCAACTTTTAGAATATAAAATTCTTGGTGAAATCCGACCCTCGCCGTTTAGCGTGGAATGAATTTCTCCATTTATGGACTCATATGAATCAAAATTATTGCAGATCATAATACTTAGAAAATTTTTAGAAATTCTTATTTCACCCTCGCAACGGTTTACCGCCTCATCGTGGCTGGGAGGTGTTCCTGGGTGTCAAATTGCGATCTACAGCGGGGGATTCGTCCCTCCACAGGGTCTTGCAAGATCAGAAGGGGTCCGGCGTTTCCATCAAAGAGCCTAGCTAAGAGCAAACCAATACCAGGATCCACCACTGTCCTGATATCAGAGTCGCATGGTGGCAAATCCACCTATGATCCACAAGAGCTGCGACTGCCTGTCGTAGTGACGACATGGGGCAGACTTTGGCCAGGCCGCCCTCGGGATTCCAAGGAACCACAATCACTTAACCAGCAAATCTCCGAAAAACGGTGTTTATGCTGGGGGCCCCACGGATCTCCCTCATATGAGGGATCTCGAGCCGGTTAGTCGCGATGCTTCGTGGCGCGTCCCCGGGTGGCGGATAGGAGTTAATCGAAGCGACCATTGCTTCCCTGACGTGGAACCAGGGGATGGACTCCGTGTTTCTGCTGCGCCGATTTGGCACATACTTCCTGTATTTGGTAGGCGTATTCATGCATGCGTATGTGGGTGCGTTCTCGCTTATGCAGATTGTATTCCACGACTCAATTCAGCCAAAAGCCTTCAATCAAGTGACAGAGACGTATATTGGAGGCGATTAGGAGTCGCCTCCAACAAACAAGCCTCATGTCCACTCTGGGACAGCCTGGCAAGCTACCCGTGAGCATACCCAGTACCCACGCTCAGGGCCCATCAAGCTATACGTGGGTATCAAAATGTTAAATACAGTTAAAAAGAACGGGTCTCATACCTCTGACCCCGAAAGAGCCCCCAATTTCGCAGCGTTGGGTGGGACGAGTACGGAGAGGCTGCTAAAATCTCAGGGCTAATGGAAGCTGGCTGGATTACAAAGAACTATGGTGACGATCTGTACCTACAATGCGCGTACACTTGCATCGGAGTCCTCGATAGAAGACTTGTTCATGCAAGCAAGAAGGATAAGGTATTATCATCGGCCTAGACGACCCCACCCATTCAAGGCCGTCTATGACACCAGAGAAGAACTGTCCCTCGGAACATGCGACAGTAGAGGAGTCGGTGTTCTCGTCAACACGTGTTTTTCCATGAACATCGATTCATTCGAACAGCTTACAACCCGAATCGGACGTTTACGATTAAAAAGATGTGGATCAATACCGGTTTTGACATTCTTTGTCGTTTACACGTCGACATAAACTATGACTAAGAAGAAATCGAAGCGTTCTACATGGACTTGGAGAAGTTCTACAGGGAAGACCATACATTCTTCAAGGTCATCATAGGAGATTTCAACGCCAAGATTGGAGCAAGAAGAACGTCACATTGGGGACCCACGGATTAGAATTGAACGAACTGGGTGAGAGGCTATCTGAGTTTATCATGGCGACGAAGACAATCCATGGTAACTCGCAAATCCAGAAGCACCACCTTCAACGCTGGACATGGGGGTCTCCCAATGGAGAATACCATAACGAAATAAACCACATCATAGTAAATAGAAGGCTTCGCCTAACCAATGTCGCTGTTGTCCAAAATTCTACACATGATCGGACCACCGTCTTCTTCGTGCAAAATTCTATTTCTCGCTGAAAGGAGAAAAATCCGCTAAATTCAAAAACCGAGGTCCCAAAACCACCACAAACTGGGACTTATTCAATTCATTAGTCGGCTGTCGGAACGTTGCCGTTGTCGATAACATCGACGAAGAATACGATCGGCTCATTCAACATTTTACGTTAGCGCTATGAAACCTGAGAATTCGCATGTCACCAAGAGACGTCTGTCTCCAGAAACACTCGAGCTGATACGCCAGCGTGGAATCGCACGAGCTGCAGGCAATCGCGAACTAACGTCGGAACTTGCAAAACAATGCAGACAGGCGATAAAAGAAGATCTTAAAGAGAGGAGAGCAGCAATAACGGTCGAAACTGCAGAGGCTGGGAAAAGCATTCGTAAAGCCCACCGAAGCCTCGCCGATTACAAGCCCACTCTGATGCAGTTCTTTTCTCAACGAGTCCCTAGAGCGAGCAGAACCCACTGGGTTACTCTTGCACGCGATAGGGAAACATGGTAGATTTAAAGGCGCCAGTTCGAGTCACTCGACGATCAACGGGACTACAGGTGATATAGGTGATACTGGGGCCCGAACAACTAGTGAGAACGGGCCATTCAAGTAACAAGTATCTTGCCTATACGCGTTTTTGACTTGTTGGGCGGCAGTACAAATAAATATCCTTTCTCATTTACTTAATCTTCGCTTCTAAGTTTTCTTTTACACCAAGGCCATGAGTATGCTATTAAAGGTAAGTTTATAACATAATTCAGCCGAACAAATTGATGAGTGTACTGCGCTTAAAACAGCGCACACAGCACAGTGCTTAGAGGTGTCCTGCACACAGCATCGTTGGTCTGACCCTGCACCCTTGAAAACCAAGCCCTCCATTACTCCAGGGTCGAAAAATTATTGCTATACCTGTTTAGAAAGATAAAAATACTGACTTAGTACATCGATAGGTTACCTGAGGTCACTATGTAGTCCAATCCACCTCTACGATGACACGAATGAACAAGAATGAATGGGACCACAACTATGGGACTGATTAACGTTAAATGTTTTATTCATTACTTCTAGTGCTTTTGAAGATATTAGACAGCACACCTTCCAGGATCATCTGAAGCAGTGATCATTACGTTCTCATATCCCAGTTCTTCAGTGACCTTCAAAGCCAACTCTGAACAATCAATGGATGTGCTCAGAATTGGTTCTAAACTCGTTGGGCAGACGTTATCTGCTGGAACGCAGCCTAAACAACGTATATTCCAGATACATCACAAGGTATGAAATATAACTAACGTATGAGTTATAATCAAAGCAAAAATTTATTTGTTAAGGCGAAATCCGCCGAAACGCCAGCTTGTGCGTAAATAAAGAAATAAAATAGCACCTCGTGTTTGCTGAACAGAAGTAGAAAGATATATTCAATCAATACCGAGGTTAATAGAAAGTCGGACTTGGGAGTGCACTAGAAAGACAATGAATCTGAAAACCTAATCCTATCCTATAATAACGAATGCTAGTGGTACTCGTTATCAACGTTGTCCTATTCGCGTGCGGTGACGTCACCAATTTAATTAATTTTCTAATCTACAAGTAGCGAGTAAAGTTGTTTGAAGTGGACTGCAAATATGTCCACCTGCCTTACAGATGGAACCTTACGAATTTGTTTGTATGCTCTTCAGCATTACTTCGTCGAAGAACTCATCAGAAGAAATGCATTGAATCAAACTTCGTTCTCTTTCCAACCTCCCTTCTACGGCATAATCGGAAAAGTTCCAAAATCCTTCGATAAACAACACCTATCGATAAACAGCACCTAGCATAATGAGAGCAGGATCTGCAACAAAGCTACAATGCGAACACTTCATTATGAGATTTTCACTTTAGGAATCAATTGACATTTAATATATGTTTCTAACGATCCTGATATCAACAGAGCCCATCACACAGAGTTTACAACGATCTTCCTTTACTAGAAAGCTGTGAAGTCTCGACTCTGCAGAAAAAACATTCTGAGATGGCAAGTTCAGAATGTGAAGCATACACATTGCTGTATCATGAAAATACTGTTTCAAATCAAAACGAATGATGTCCAGTTACCGTCCTGTGTCCGAATGACCGACCTATACGACCGCCTCCAATCATTGGCAACTCGAGTCCTAATGTCGTATACACTAAGACTCTCTGTGTAGGGTAGATGAGCAGATATTCTTTGTTCTTTCCCAGTTATTTGTGGCATAACCTAGCCACAGCGTTCCCCGACTGCACCCGTAACAGTAGGTAGATTTTGCAGATCTGATTAAGATTCCCCATAATCGGCACAAGTTCCCTCCTTTTCTATTTTATTTATTTTATTTTATTTGACCCGTCTTTACCTCTATCGTACAGATCCCAGCACTTATCACATTCAGTTCCTTTCCTCGTATCCACTGTCCACGAAGACCTTCCAACTTTACCTGTGGCTTCGGTTGCTGCTTGAGGATTTTCATTTCATCCTGAATGTCGCAGAACGCTGGTTGAGTCGATTCTTCCTGGAGTCCTGGGATAACCAGGCTGGAGCGTTCCCAATTGGATTGCAGAGAGATTTTCTCCCACACAAGTCCGATATCAATTTCCCGACCTCGGAGAGATAAGAGGTTTGGTTGGCCCGGAGCGAAATCGAACTAGCACCATGCTCGTGATCACGTGATGTTTAGTTTAGTTCCCATCTTACCATTGGCAAACCTAGACATAGCAATATCCGAACCCAAAATAGAAACTTCGAGTTCTTGCCACCGAATGCATGAATAATTGCCGCAAGGTGGGTAAGTAATAGCCGGAAACACAGCACCTTAAAAACATGTGCGCCCCCTTTTGAAATAGTGCGTATTGATTTCGAACGAAAACCCGACTGGTCTGTTCATATTTTTAAACAAAACAAACACCCCTGAAAAATCCACATCAATGTTTACGAAGCGAAAGTCGCCTAACCTGTGAAAAAAGCCTTTCTTTACGTTTTTGTGTTGAAAACATTACCGTTTACGTCATACTCCAAGTATCCTCCTCCAAACGACCGTTGCTCAAATTTAATGTGATGGTGCTCCGGATGCACACCAATATGGACGACCAGCTGTTAAATAAAACCAGAATTTTCAGTAGAGTTTTTAAAAAACGAATAGCAAAATGCAATCTGATTAGAGATCGGTTCGACGCTCGAAATTGATCACGGTAGGCCTATCCGATGCGAATTAAAAACCATGCAAAAAAGGCCTATACTTAAAGAATGACATGATTAATTGTCATCTGGACCCCCTGCTGGTAAGAAATTTAAGGATCATAGTTGTTACGGAGAAATGAATGTACCAAACACTTTAGAGAAACATCTGTTCTTTAGAGTGATTCCTTAATCTCACAGCGTGTAGTTTACTATTCAGACCATGAGTAAGAACAGAACCTTCGGTGAGTACAAAGCCCACAGTTTCATGACCTTCTCTTCTACTTCAGCATATGCCACACTGATTTTCTCAGTCACTAGCTTACCGTTGAAACCTAAAAAAAAAGATCAATCAAAAACGTTCTGAACACATGGGGCATCAATAAAGTCGCTGAGCGGACTCTTTTGAGTGCAATGGTTTAAACGCTCTTATGCAAATTCAAAGACCGATTATTGACGTATAAGCTCTCGGCGTTGATCAATACTTGGGGGATGCGTCATGTATTCGACTTCATTAAGTATCGTTGGAGGTGATTGAATGCATACCTGGCGTTTACAATGACTCGCATTGGCCCGTTAAAAAGAATAGGTAGTAAATAAAACGTTAGATTGCGATTATAACTATAGCCTCAGCTTAACTGGTTTCAATGCCGATTTGCGCTCTCCAGATCAATCCCGTTGACGGGTGATTGCTGATGGCAAAAGATCGATAGAACTAGCTGAGCGACAGGCGAAACAAAGGACCCGCATGGTGTGGTGGCGAACGTGTTACTCCACGGAAAGGACAATAGCGCGTTCGTTCTCCACCGCAGACACCTGCGGTCCGGAGTTTTGCAAATATCTCAGCATCATAGAAGTTATATTTCGCAATATACCTTGCCGTTAAAAAGAGTAGGCAGTAAATAATAAGTGGAAAAATGCGCATAGCCGTGAAAGGATGAAGGATAATTTTATTGAAAATTTAGAACAAATCATGGTGCATTTTCTACCATGAGGAATGCAGAAAAATACCTGGAATTTTCATCGCGGCAAGTTCATCAACCACTTGTGAACTGGGGTTCTCATCATAAGGGGGAAATGGTCCAAACCCCGTAACCACCACAACATCGGTGGTTACCATTGCTGATAGTCTTCAGGAAAGTCAACAAGACTGACCTAAAAACGTAACTTTATTCAACGCTTCTAAGCAGATGAAGGCAAAGGACCACGGATATGATACACTCGAAAATTTTACAGCTCCACGGTTTCTTAACAAAGCAATCTCATATGATCTGGGTATTACAGAAAGCTTATGTAAAGCTCATGAACTTGAAATATTTCAAAATTTCCACAGAATAGCTATCGATTCAATTTTACTTAATCAATCTTATTGTACTTCTACTTAATCAATCAAGTCTTATTATTATTATTAGGAACTCCCAAACACACGATAATTCCTGGTGGTAAAATTCTACGCAATGATTATGAGGATATGTTGCACATCGGATGGGTGAAGCACGTATTATGACAAGATACTCGTTAGTAGGAAAACCTATGAAATGGCTCAGTCGATAGCCCACTTGCATCACCATTGTGCCTTTTTCTTACGAAGAAAAAAGACTAAACAAGTTATTACAGCACATGAAACCAATAATTTACCAATACCCATTTGGGAAATCCACCTACGTCATCGTCGTCCCCTTTCGGAAGCCTGTTATTTCGTTCTGCCTGTATCCTTGGTAACGCGACTCACGTCGTTCTTTTTCCCTCACTGCCATGCACTTCCACAATCATCTTACCGATCGGATTTTTCTTCCAAATCCCCCTTAGCTAGATTTTCCTCCAGTTTTTTAACTATGCCCGGAAATCCCTTTTAATTAACAGAAAAGTATTTCCTTTCAATGCTATCCGAATATCGATTCCTTTCTTCAGCGATTACTCACAAGCAGTAAAGTATTCATTTCAGAATTCTCTTCATTCATAGCTTGCCATCAAATAAATTCAGTACAAAACGATTAAAAAAAACTTTTCGTAAACCTACGGAATAAAATCTCCCAAACAACTAATCATTACCCTTCATATTATGATCAGTGAACCACCTCGATCCACTTACAACCTCCTTTGACTACTTATCAAGTTTCCAAAACTAAGTTGTGTAACAAAATATTTTCAGGAAAAATGCACTATGCGAATCCTTGAATAAGCACAGAATCCCCTAACACTAAAGACATGCTTATTTTCTACAGCTCTTATATAGGCTTATTGCCAATTCCAACTTGCACACAGACCGCCACCATACATGTGCTAAGAAACTAATTTCTTTTTTGCTTCTTAAAGCTTGTCCCAAAAACGGTTTCGGCCCGATATTTCTTATACCTCATATCTCACACTCTATTTTACCACCTAAATGAATTTCCCAACGATATGAAAATAGTGAGAAACAGCTAAATCCACTGTGAGGCATTCGCATGCGCACTACCTCAGTCTCCATCTCAGCCTTCCACAGGCTGCTGCGGCCATCAATCCAGTGTTGGTAAACTGGTAGCATATTCTTTGAGAAAATATAAAGTTCCAACGCCCCTATTTCTTGGCCTCCTGGAATCATTACTCAAAGTATAGACTTTCGGCGAATTCATGAAGAGAAAACCAATATATGCGACAATCCTCCAGAGATTCGCTTATTACAGTTGCATCAGAATCACCTTAGTTCCTCAACATTGCAGTATTTACATTCACCTGTACCGCCGGTTACTTGTTGAGTGAACTGTCGAATAACTCGAGCGGACAAAAGTCTTCTCTCCTCCGTCGCGCGTTAGAGCTGCTCAGTGTCTTCAGAACGCTCGAAGGAGACGAACGGCATCACTGTTGGTATGAAACTCTTTATTCTCATTGTTTTTGTTGAAGGGATCACCACTGGTAGAACGTATGACTATGTTGTTACACAGGTTAAGCTCCTCAAATTATATAGCCCTACGAGTGTTTGAACCTTTTTGCTGTACATCGCAGTTGAACACATAGAATCATCTGCCAACCACTATGGGGCCGTGCAGCCTTGGAGAAATGGCTATTTATTTAGGGAATTTACGCCCATGAGTGTATCATAATCGATGGAAAACAACAGCACAATAGGTCTGCTGAAAATCTGTGAACTTGCACCATTTTCTTTGTCATAGTAATATTTTTATTCAGAGAATATTCAATAGAATTGTTATGTGACGTCATCGAAGTCCTCCATAGACGATGACAACATTAGCCGATCGATATCATATGACAAAGCGATTGGGAGACGGCACATTCGGAGAAGTTCTTCTGGCCAGGAAAATCGATACTGGAGATAAGGTTGCCATAAAACGGTGAGCCAAGAATCTGACGGTATAGTTGAAGCATTTGTAAGAAGAAATTAGTTGGGTAACAGAAAGATAAAGTGATAAGAAGATCAGAACAAAACTATTTCGTTGTTCGCAAATAGAATGGCGACAAATATGGCCCAAAAAACTAACGGATCTGGTTCACAAAGGGATTCATCAATGGACCATGAAAACGGCAGTGAATCCTTACATAACCATGCCACAATAGTTACCCATAGCAACAAGAACTATCACCGTTAAATAGGATTTACCAATAGCAGAACAAAAGAGCTTCTCACTGAAATGGCACCGACTTCCAAGTACGTTTGTAAAATGAAACAAAAAAACTCATTTTCTCTCGGAGAAAGCCTTTGGATTTAGAAACACTCCCAGTTCTCCTCAAACGTAAAACTGCGCCGTGTAAATACGAACATGACAAAAATTGTTAATTCGCACAAAAAACTGAGTCAGACGTTTCAAAGACAGAGGAAACTTATTAGTTACACCATACTACTGTGGAATTTTCAGGATGAAGAAAAAGTTCAAGACCTGGGAGGAAGCGACTGCCCTGCGAGAAGTAAAAGCGCTGAAAAAATTGCCGCATCCGAACATCATAAAGCTCAGGGAGGTAAGAATGGCGTCTTCAGATTTCGTGTATATGAAGTCTATATGCCTCCCAACGGTTTATCTCATCGTGGCTAGGAGATGTTCCTGGATGTCGTACTGCGATGCACAGCGGACGGATTCATCCCCTAGCAGAGTTTCCCAAGCTAAGAAGGGGTCCGGCGTTTCCATCAGGAAGTCCAGTTAAGAGGAAACCAGTACCAATACCAGCATACACCACCGTCCTGGCATCAAACTAGTCGCATGGTGGCAAATCTCCCTCTGATCCAGAAAGGCTGCAACTGCCTGTGGCGGTGACGACTTAGCGCAGACCGTGGCCAGGCGGACCTCGGGACTCCATGGAAACACAATGGCTAAACCAGCAAAACTCCGAAAAATGGAAAATATGCTGGGGGCCGCACAACCAGTGAGGACGGGCCGTCCAGGTAAATAAGTAAGTAGAAGTCTATATGAAATATAAATGCATAGGAGTGACTGTTCATAGAAGTAAGAATCAAAGGAAGTAAAATATCAAGACGTTATTCATTCCTTCTTCTAGGTGATCAGAGAAAACGATGTTCTTTATTTTGTCTTCGAATATATGCAAGAGAATCTATACGAGTTAATGAAAGACAGGTATGCCGCAATAATATCGTCTCAAAGCCATAAAGTCTCTTTCTACACTTTTGAAATGTGAAATCCACCACTAAGAATCCACAATTCAGGGATCGATATTTCCCAGAAGGAGTGATCCGAAATATTATCTACCAGATACTTCAAGGACTTGCATTCATGCATCGCAACGGTTGGTAATTTTTAGACAAGACCTTATCACCTTAACATTTGAATATCTATTAAGCAACTGTTGACGATTTGACACAAAGTCATTAGTAAAATACCTCATATACTTATCCTTCAATGGATTTTTGCTTCTTTGAAAAACGAAATAGATTACATTAACATTATTAACATTAAGAGTCTGACGTGATTCAATTTCCACTTATAACGGGCGAGAGTGCAATTGGACCAACGTGAGTAGGTACGAACTCATAGCGAGTGCGCAGAAAAAGTATGCATCAAATAAATGCGTTAGCTACATTGTATAATGTCAACAGAAAAACCGAAAACGTAGCTATCATTCGCATGGTAAGAGGCTGTGTAAACATGCAACGTTTTTTAAAGTCCATCTTACTTTGTGTGTGAGATTCCCTCTCCGCACTGAATTAACGCAATACGATAATGTGCCTGGCTCAAGTTAGTTGTTTGAAGTGCGAGTGTCGAATAAATCAGGTGTTATCATGTTAGGAGGGTTGTCTTTACCGAAGGATATAGGCTTATTATTACAATTGGCTTCAAAATTTCTGAACTAGGATCACATGCAACTAGTAAGGATTTCAACTACTCGTTATAAAACAAAAGTAGCATCACCTTGCCACCACTTCCTTTCCCTTACGCATTCTGCAGATAGCAATAGCCAAGTGGTGTATTTAGGAAAAACTTCAATGAATTTCAATTCTAGAACTAGAGTCTCAGCTTGTTTTCGGAAAGTGTTTTGGAACGATTAGTTATGTTTTGACTTAAGTCAAATTTGCAACATTTTTTTTATAGTTGTTTATTAGAACAGTATGATAGTATACTTGAATGGATTTGTCCCACTCAACATGTCATTGTTTAATGCTAGGTCATTCCTCTGCTGTGGTTTGCAAACCACCATCTAATTTTTGAGATATGAAAGGGATATAGATATTTATTTATTTACATAGATACATGTATTTCTACCACAGTCATCTTTAAAACAGAAGTTTCAGATCTCGATATTCAATTTGATATAGTTCGATAATGTAAAACTCTGTGGAAAGGAAACGAAAGAATGGTGACTTCCGTTTTTCAACGTTTAAAAAACAAAAACGTCTAAACGTCCGAAACGTTCAAAACGTCTGAGTCACAAAGTGGTACCCAATCGTCTCTCTACTTATTCAACGCAGGGAGCGCTCATGAGAAATCTGCTCTGAAACCAGTGCGTGCACAGAAAGAGAAGCGGTGCCTGTAGAATGGTCCAGAAAAATCAGTACTAGTTGTTGCTTTATCTTCGGACTCTCTACAGCGTCAATGAGTGATGTTGTCGTCTCTACAGCATTGACGTTGGGGTAAAAACGCTCTCGGTGCTGATCAATCGTCGCATGGCATACGCTGTGCATTCGACTCCATTATACACAGAAGTAATTGCATGCATATTTGGCGTATATAAGGACCTATGAAAGCTTACCGTTATATGAAGTCAGTTAAATACAATCATAGGGATGCTGAGACATGAGCAAAACTCAGAACCTCAAATAGGCTTCAAATCCGCGATTACCCATATCTGCTATCCTGGTCACTACTATCCACCACACCAACCGAGGCCCTTGCTTTGGCTTTCTCTCAGGTATGCTCTTAACCAATTTTCGATTTTTCCTATTCTGATTTCGACTGCAGATTCAACTTCAATGGGCTCAAGAGATCATTCCTGTTGACGGGTGATTGCTAAGAGAGCCGATAGAGCAAAAACATACGTGAAAAGCAAAACAACGGCATCGTTCGGTGTGGTGTGTAGCACATGACTCCCTGATAAGGGGTTTGGAGCCAAATTGAGGCCTCAAGTTTTGCTCATATCTCAACATCCCGATAATCGTATTTCACATTGACCCTTGCCATGAAAAAAGAATAGACATTAGATAAAGCTCAAGACATTACCAAATCAGTGCTCTTATACTCCCAGATGAACTCTGGTAGTAATTTTTCGATTCCGAGGTGATGGATTGTGGAAGGAGGAGGGTTTGGTTAGCCAATGATTCAAACCACTGACCTATGCGCACTCTCTGCAATGATTATGTCAACCATAAAATTGCACGACCTAAGCAAGGTATTCCATTAGATACAATAGGACACAGAAATGTAACAGCGAAGATTGTGCGGTCAATGTTGCGATCATAGCACACTAACCAAAAGCGGCAAAGTGCGGAAGTTTCAAGGACTTTTGGATGATCTCTGAAAGCCCTAAGGTAAACCATATGTCAGGATTCGTCTCATAGGCACATACCTCATCCAATGCGAGCGAACTTTGTGTAGATGATCTCAGCTATTACACTACATAAATGCTATAAAAAAGATGTATATCGACAAGTTCAAAGGAGAATGGTTGCCTACATGCTGTCCACTGCGTGGACTTTTGTTAGTGTCACAGTGCGAACTCCAACTAAGGTTACTAAAACTTCAAACATAGAAATAACACTAACAACGGAACCAGTGCGCAGAGGTAACCTAACTGTAAGATAGGTTTTGTGGTGGATTGATTAATTTGAACGAGGAGTAGAAATAACATTACAACCAAGAAGAGTAAAAGCTAAGTAAAACGTTATATGAGACAAGAAAAAGGATTTCAACAACTAAATGACAATTCTTGCACACTTTTTTGGGATAAGTAAGGCATCTACCTCGTATGGTTGTCCGTCAATCCTATGATGGCATTTCACATAGCAATTGCCAAGACCGACTTTCTGTTAACCTCGGCATTCACTCGAGAAAATTGGAAATTTTTCTTCAATAAGCAGACACGAAGTTGGTAGTATAGAATTTGTTAGGATACACGTTTCGGCGGTTTCGCCTTCTTCAGAACCTGGAAAGGTCAAATTGAGATGCGATCTATCCAGCCAAACACCTTCATAACCCTGAAGATAAAACTTAACAAGCAAATTTGCATTCGCATAAGAAACAGCTTTATTTCATTTTTTTGTCATCACATGTGACCTGGCGCCATCCCTCAGGCGAATCCAATGACCTGACACAGGCACAGTACTCGCCCATGTATTATTCTGTGCGGCTGCTATCCACCAACTAACTTAAATACTTACAGCAAATAAACCGCAGGTGTTTAAATAAAGCTGTTTCTTATGCGAACGCAAATTTATTTGTTAAGTTTTATCTGCTAGGGTTATGAAGGTGTTTGGCTGGGTAGATCACATCTCAATTTAACCCTTCCAGGCTCTGAAGAAGGCGAAACCGCCGAAACGTCAGCTATTATAAATAACAGCCTAATAAATTCTATAATAACAGCCTCGTGTCTGCTTATTGAAGAAAAACATCGAATCCTATGATGTTGCTAGGTCGAGCCCACTGCACGAGACGTGTCACCAATCAATGACAACCGTAAACCCACAATGCATACGATACAGATGATGCATCTCGGTAACGCGTTTTGGTTACATGAACAGTCTTCACATCATTTGTTTTCATTTCGTCGAATACAAAATTTACTAAGGCCTTCGAACTTTTGCACGTGGACTCTGACGCTTCTTGAGTATTCTCGTTTTTTATCGATGTCGTTGAATGCTGGTCAATACAAATCCCTGGAGTCCTACGATAACTGTCCCAGGACGCTCTAACCTGGATTGAGTGGATTGAGCTTAGCTCCGGGCAAGCCCGTTACCAACTTCTCGGCTCCGGGGATATAGGTGGCTTGGTGGGCCCGGTGAGGGTCGATTGGACACCGTGCTCGTGATGCACGACACCACTATCACCATGTTATCCGTCGCCTGGATGTAACAGTAACATGCAACAAAGAGCAGGAATAAAATCTCTTCAAAAAGCATTGTATAAAACGTTGGTATGAACAAGCAATCCCGGGATCCCGCACGTAACATCACGGCTCTGAGGAAGGCGAAGTCGCCGAAACGTCAGCCATCGATCAATAACATCAAAAACAACGACAACGAAGATCTGTATCCACCTCGCGTCAGCTTAAGAAGATCAGTTTATAAGATCACATAAATAAATAAATCTTATCAGGGTATTTGATTTACATTAGACCATTTTCACGCCCTAAAAAAAGCGAAATTCGCCGAACTTTTCGCCATTGTAGAGTAAACGTTATACTAACAATTCCTTAGCAGCTAGCTAATCAGAGAGAATAAAACTCTCGGCGTTGATCAATCCCTGATAGATGCATCATGCATCATGCACCATGGATCGTTAGAGGTGATTGAATGCCTATCCTGCCTATGCAATGACTCCGGTGGCCTACCGATGTATCCAGTCAGTATGTTATCTTCTCTGACAAGTCTAGTACCAATTTACCGACTCCAGGGAGATGGAAGGCTTGACGAGCCTGGGTCGCAGGGATCGATCCTATGTATATTAGAAGGTGCCTCTAACCACTGCGTTACACGCGCCCCAGCTCCATAATAATACTATTATGAAACGTAAAATGACCGCGGTATAATGACCTCATATTTGGTATGAAAACTCAAACAGTACAGACGGTATACGAGCTTCAAGTAGAAACTACGGCGCATTCAGCAGCTAGAGAAATACATTTCATTAGGAGTAAACGAGTGCTTAATCGCTTTTCATTCCTTCTCTAGATAAATTTCTCTTTGTACTTTGTTGCTTTACAGTGTATCGTGGACATCATTCGGATGAAAAAGCTGATAAAAAATCAATAAAAATTTATAGGGTATTTTCACCGAGATATGAAGCCAGAGAACATTATGTGTAATGGAACAGAGCTGGTGAAGATCGCCGATTTTGGGTTGGCAAGAGAAGTGCGTTCGAAACCACCGTACACGGACTACGTCTCAACGAGATGGTAGGTAAGAACTCCGGGAAGGGTCACTAATCAATCACACTTATGCTCCGAAGATACTTTGCCCTAAACTAATGCTGAATTTCAGCAACGAAGAGCTGAAAACGTTGTCAGCTTATAGAAGAGACTTTGCTATATCTATTTAGAAATAAATAGGGTCCTTTAACACTGTTACTTGGTTCTTAAGGTCGTTTAAAATTAAGACCTCCAAAAGGAATGAGGATAGAATCTAAAACTGCGGACGAAATCGTACCTAACATAAACAACAACGAATCTGGAGACATCGTGTTCTAATGGACGAAATAGCGCTTGCCTAATTGCTTTCATTATCGAAATACAAGCTTCAATGAAAAACTGCATAAAATACAGTTGGTGGGCTACAGAAAAACAGGATTTAATCAAGTAATACGCAACAGTTTACGTCCCACAGGCAAAGATTTGTGGATTCTAATACTTTTATTGCAAGTACTATTCACTTTGAGCTGAGCTACGCTGGTTTAAATTTGGAAGCGGTCTTTTTTTGAACATCGTGTGAGTGGAAATCAACTCACATCGGACCATAAGTGTTATGCTAGCGAGGTGAAATGAAATATCTATCGTGTCTTTGGCAATAGAACTTTTGAATGACATAGATCTGATACAGAGACAAAAAACGAAATATATTGGAATTTTAAGAGGATAAAAAAGATAAACTCTTTGGGATTGATCAATTCCTGAGGAATGTGCCACATATCCGACTTCATCAAGCATCACAAAAGTGACTGAATGACTCCGGTCTAAATAATGACTTACAATGGACCTCCGATGAATCAGCTCAGTACCGCGACCCTATCAGATAAGTCTGCTACCAAATCGTCGACCTCAGATGGATAGAGGATTTGCTTTGCCCGAGGCATGAGATCGAACCAAGGACCATGTGTGTATTGAAGGCCGATTCTAGGCCCTTCTAAGTGCATATTACCTGACAGCGTCCCTTCATTCAAATGTATCCTATTTATTGAATTCAACTTCCACTGACACTTATGTTTATTGCAGAGCACTGCTTGCCTTATTTATCGAAACTGCTAAATCTAGGAGCATGATATGAGCTCGTTGTTGGTCTGGATAGACGTGACACAGTACATCTTTCTTCATAAAGTTATCTTTGCTGTTCTTAAAAAGCAATAAATGCAGGTACCGAGCTCCAGAAATACTTCTTCGATCCACCTCCTACAACTCGCCAATTGACATTTGGGCGCTCGGATGCATTATGGCGGAACTTTATATGCTACGACCTCTGTTCCCTGGTACCAGTGAACTGGATCAGTTATTCAAGATTGTCACCATTCTAGGAACACCGACTAAGGTACATTAAATTCTCTGCCAGCGATAATGAGTAAAAAGTACAGCAGGTTCTCAACATAGCAGCTACAAATTACTTAACTCTAAAATTTACTTTAAAGCTTTGCTTTGTTAATATGATGAATTTCCAAGAGTCTGACTTGAAGTTTTGTAAAAAGTTAACTCATTGCTCCTGTAATGAGTCATATATTACTCCCAACGTATGAAAATTTGGAGTCGTTCCATGCTAACACAAAACTAGACGTCGGCATCAATGCGTTGACTTTTTCCTCGCTAATTTTTTCTTTCCCCTAATCCAAAATAAACCATTGATAAATAATTACATCCTATATTAAATCATCTAAAGAACACTAGACAAAATGTGTGATCTTCATTAAAGGAGGAATGGTCAGAGGGATATCAGCTCGCAAGTGCAATGAATTTCCGATTTCCACAAGCTGCTCCAATGCAAATGGAAACTATTGTAAACACGATAGGAAAAGATGGCATGAAACTCATGATGGACATGATGACGTGGAATCCAGAAAAACGGCCAAACGCCGGACAAGTGAGTAGCGTAAATCTCTTTGGTGAGCACTTTAACACGATCTTATTACAAGCTGTTTTCTGAAAACTGGCGACGATCTCTCAATAATGTGAAGCTATAAAGTTTACAAAAGAAGTTTGCATTGTGGCCGTAAACGTATACGTTATTTTTCTTTTACTTCAACAGAATAGCTTTTTAGCGTAGAACTTGTTAATCATTGAAATTCTCGAAAACTTGAAAAGGAATGTTTGATGTTTGATGTTTTCTACAGAAGCGCGACAGCCGCAAAACACTGAGAAGTGGCATTGCCCCTCCCACCCTGTCGAGCCTTACGCCGTTTGTTTGCATTTGCTTGAGATACTAGCTTTCATGCCAAAAATGGTGAGAAGATACGTTTTTGGGTTCCAAAAAGTCAGAATTTTTTATCCTGCAAGATTAATGAAACTTGTATCTTGCAGCGAGTGATCTGTAGATTTAATTATCTCTGAATGAATTTATAAAATTCAATATCAGCTGAGATATGTCAGTTTAAAGTCAACAGCATCCATAATTTTCTCATTAAAGACGTGCAATACTCTCCATATCAACAAGAATCGAAAGCGTCCGCGAACCTCCAAAGAAGAAATAAACTAGAAAGAAGAAATGCGAACATTTGTTTTTAATGAAAACCAGATGATGCACGGGAAAATTACAAAGCAAAACTTCAAAATTACGTTTGCGTGGTGATGTAATCAAGTTAAAGAGTAGTCGAAAACATTCATCCGTATCGTCCACGCTAATCACCAAGTGACTCGAATGAGCATTAATAATCTCTCTATCCGGTACCACAGTTATCCATCAGTTCTTGATGGAACATGAGCAACATTATAGCTTCTATTCCGGACCTTTACGACGATAACCGAGTAGCAGAGTGTCCTGGAATGCACTTTTTTGATGCTGTACCTCATCGATGACGGCTCTTTTCCATCAAGTGTTTCTCTTGCACCGATTTTTGACATGTTTACGGGAACAGCGTCGTTGATCCCGAATGTGGGAAGTTCGAATTTCCCTCACCCTTATAAGTGGTATATGACACTCCTATCAACATCCTATCGATAGTGCATCTTGCCCATGTAAGGTCGAGATTTACGATGCGTACGTTGACGCAGAATAACTGGTGGAATCCAAGACGATATCAAACAGCGGAGTGTTTTTCATCTTCTGTACTATATCTCCATTGCACCTGTAAGCTTCCTAAGCCGCTTCCTTCTCCATGACCAGTTTCGGAGCCAAGTCATTCATTATGGTAACTTCCTCACCAAGGTATGTATTAGTACAACATTCGTAAGTGTTCGTTCTGTCTAGGGCTAATGAGGCTCAAGAAACAAATCCCGCTACCCATGAAAACATTTCTCTTTAAGTTCAAATGTAAATGCGTACATTGTAGTGTACATTTCACAAAAGCAGTGGCAACACAGCAGTATTCGTCCTGTCTCACTTTAAAAGAGAAATGACACCGGCTTACAAAAGCGCCTAGTTCCATTCTATCGACTTCCATTGCAGTGTTCCCTTTCCAGATGTCGGACGTCACCATTCAGAGTTATGGTTTCCTAATGTTTTTTTTTTCTGGAGAACTGTTGACACGCGTAACACCTTTCTTCGTGTAGATAATAATATTCTTCTATAACGACGAAATCCAAGAAGGAAGGTCGCAAATAGTTCTAAAACTCACGAACGTCCCTTATTCACCCATAAAGACGCCCTTTTTGATCAAGGCTTCTATTATCGCTTTCATCGTAATCGATAAATGTGCGCAATAACTAAATTTTGTTCCCATGCGCTATTTCAATGACTTTGATAACAGTATAGATATATAGTATAGTATGCTTCACTGTAATGAAACCTTTCCGAAACCCTGTTTATGTCATTGTATTTTTTCCATGGAAATCGCCCGTGCACAATAGTTTGTAGCTACTTGAATGTCAGCGTCAGAACCTCGTACTCGCTAACAAACCCACTTCCTCATACATGAATTTATCTACGTGCATAAAGGGGGTATGAGTCAATCCGATCGCTTCGCCCGTCTTCGACTTCCAATCTATTGAGTATTTGTCTATTTGATCATACTTATAGACGAATTTTCGAAGTTCAACCTATTTTTTTCTACATTACCCATGGGCCAAAAGAAAAGTGAACGGTGATTTGAATAAAGAAAATTAGTTGTCAAGAATTAGCATGGAATGACAGATTATGCGACAGAAAAGTTTCGGGAACTTGTTTGACGAACAGAATTTCCAACGAAGTTTGCTTTCAATCCTCAATGTAATTAACATGTTGATCGATGACATGAGCCGATACTGGACTACTTTCCATCGGAACTGTTAATGGTAACTTAGAACTAACAACTACTTAAACACTGATTTGAGGATGTCAAATTTGGCCAAGTGTTTGCCATGAAGAGGACGAAAATTGCAAAACTCGAAAAAGTCTTGAGAAGGAGAGACAAGAACGTACGTGCATTGTTGAAGCTATGTCCATCTGCACAATATTCGTAATATGCAAAACCGTTTTCTTCGGCCAGAAAGTGCAATGCATGCTGGGATGGTAGTTCAGCTACCTAATGCGTTCTATCACAGGGTTCTTCAACCACTACCTTTTTTGCATACACTGCAGCAGTTAGTGTCAAACTTACGATCAGTTAGCTCATTTCTCTCAACTGTTAAGAAACTCAGTGGTATCAGCGTACATAGCGGTACACTTCAATGAAAAAACTGTGACAATGTGTCGTCGCCAATCTGCGGGTAGACAAGTCCGCACTTTCTTCTAGCTGACATCACACCTTGTCGTCGACAAAGGAGTGTCGACCTAAATTGAGACCTAATTGACAGAGACTGAAATGGAAAATGAAAATACTAGCAATATTTGCCTAAGCATTAAAAATGGTGTTGAAGCGTAAATCATTATGCATAGACTCATCAGAAATTAAGTACTTTCAGAGCCTCAAGTACAAATACTTCCAAGTAAACGAAAAGCTGGGAGCACCTGTGATGAGTCAGCCAGCTACAGGAAGCGTCAGGAAGAGCAGCGCCAGTAGCACTCAAAGTGACACTAAGGCCATTGTCAAACAAAAGGTAAATTTACGATATTGGCAAATCACTTGTTAAAAATATGCCGCATGATTGGTATCTACTACTTCATACTTCAAAATTTTTATTAATGGACTCACTAGTCCATTATTTTATTTTAAAAAATAGGAGGAAAGTAGTGTTGTGGTAAAATATGTCACTTCAACGCAAGCGACGATTCGACTACAGGGGACACGTCTTTGGAAGAGAGCATAACGACGAGCGCTCGACCCTATGTGTATGCTTCAATATTTACAATCAGATTAACTGCTACTTTTGAACCAGATTGCTTCAGTAAAACATGTTTTGTTAATATTGAAAGCAGCTTCGCCTTTAATAGTGACCTAGTAGGACCTGTTGGTGGTAAAGATTCCATTCAATATGCGGAAGACCATGGTTTGATTTCGTACAGCGCGAAAAATGTTGCCCTCCTCCAATGTGGATGAACTAGTGCCAAACCTCTTTGGAAAGAGCTCTTCCTGATCCACAAAGGCTGGCGACGGCTTATGGTGAACACCCATGAAGGCCGTAGCATGGCTATTCCAGGGTTGCAGATTGGATTGTGCTGAAAACAGTGCAAGAAACAGTCATAAAACATAAATCGGAGAAATACTTGACTTGAACATGAACTTGGATGGCCCGTCCTCACTGGTTGAGCGGGCCTCAGCACAACCACCATTCTTCGGAGATTTGCTGGTTAAGCCACTGTGGTTAGCTATTGTAGATCAGGAGATTTGCCACCATATGACTTTGATGCCAAGACGGTGCTGGATATTGGTTTACTCCTAGCTAGGCTTCCTGTTGTAAACGCCGGATTTTTTCTCAGCTTGGGAGACTCTGCTAGGGGATGAATTCCACTACATCGCAGTCCGACACCCAAGAACACCTACCAGCCACGATGAGGCAGTAAACCGTTGGAAGGAACCAGACAAATAACAATGTATAACTCTTATCCACTGGCCACTATTTTTTCACGACAGGGTATTATGTGAAATACAACCACGACGACGCTGAGATATTTGCAAAACTTGGATACAAGGCCAGATTGAGCGGCGATTACCCTTTCCGGGGCTCACGTGTTATGCACGGTAGGACGGAGGCCCTCGTTCTGCCTTTCTCTCACCCCGTCCAAATTTTGAAAATATCTCAGCATCATCGTGGTCGTAGTCCACTTAAGACGGAGAATTCCAGACATTCGATCCACGAGACTACTAAGTTTCAAGAATAAATGTCGAACTTAAAAAGGTTTAACAATTTTCACAATAACAAGTTTGCAACACTTTTAACTAAAAAAAAATAACCTGATATTTTGCATTTCCGATGAACACTTCTATACATGGACACCTATGCCAGCTCAGTCATAACACAACCCCATTTCGTTCCATTCCATTTCAGCAGGGCTCATCTCTTTCTTACACCGTAGCAAATCGCTGTGTTGTATTTCAACATTAGTTGTGCCCAGACGTCAATACATTTTTTATGGGTAGTCGGATTCTATTGTGATAAAATCCAACGATCACCCATCTATCACACACAACCTTCGTGATATAATTATCTCCTATTTGTTATTTGGTTCTTTGTCCCATGTACATGCTTTCATGCTTTTCCAGAAAAAGTGATGAAGTCATCGTCAAAACGTAACATTGCTAGGAATTTTATCGCCATGATGTGCAGTTTTGGGGTTCGCATTTCTCAATACTCTAAATTGCAACTCTAAAACCAAAAAATAGCATCGGTATCGTTTCTCGACAGCGGTGTTCACTACCGGAACAAGAATTGACAAACTGAAACCTCCAGAATTTGTTCTAACCAAGTTCACATTTTTGCAGATGGAAAATATTATAGTTAGTTCCGGGGTTCCCCAACAAAAAAAAATTCGCTGTCTCTATCAGCTATTCATCGATATACGAATCACATCAGTGAGGAATTCCTCAGCGACTGCATCGTATGACTGAATTAAATCTTTGAAAAGAGAAGGCCGTAATCGGCATTCTTTCAGAACCTCAGTGAATTTTACAGTATCAGACTAGCGCTATCGTTTTTGTTCAAATGTGGCCAATCACCACTTTGGTACTGAGATTTCCAACTGTTTGCGTCAGAAAAAAAAACGTGACGATAAAAATCAGAGGATGCATTGTGGAGTCAAAGAAGGAGGCTGTCTGTAAGAGGTTTGGTAGCCGTATCATTCTGGCTTGGTGGAAATGCAAAATTTCGGTCCCTCAAATCTATTCTGTAAATAAAAATGTACCGCGGTTTTCAGGTAGCCGTCATGGAATATCCCGGCTCCGAAAACGTTTCACCTCATGGAAAACCGATCGAACGACATGTGAATCGGAACATTCCATTGAATAAGTCTAGTCTGTTCGAGAAGTGAGCCACTCCTAATATTTTGTAAAGTTTTTCCCCATACACCTATAAGAAGTTACTTGACGATGACAAATCAGAGCTGAGTAGTTATTTGTTATTGTTAAAGGTTCGACGAAAATACATCAAAAACGGAAAGAACAGAGATTACAAAGAACAAATCGGGCGAAAAACGACCTGCCAAAGAAATTTATCTGTCCAAATCGAAATTTATTCCAGGTATGTGTAACCATAATAATTAAATATCATGGTAAGGAGGGCTTCCCAAGAGTTTCTCACGAGAAAAGAAAACTGCATCACAGAGCATTTTTTTCAAAACGAAAAGAAGTGGAGCCGCTAGTCTCATGAACAAATGGTTTATCTTTCATCTTCAAGTGAACCATTAAATTGCTTATTAATTAAGACAGCTTACGTCTTGCTACCTACAATATTCATAAATGAAGCTGACCTTCTCGAAAAAGTTGGTCAAAAACTATCAGAAGCCGCGTACTGTGGGTGCTGTGGGCTACGACCCTCTCTTTGGGTGAAGGGGTAGTGCTTGTCAGGCCGATCATGGCTCATGTTAAGGTTCTTTGAGTGGTAAGGGTGGTCCAGAGTACGATGGTCTATAAAGTAACAAGCATCATTATTAAAAATATGCGTTAGCGAAACAGTGTGGTCCCCAAAGGAACCCAATTTGAACCGGAATCAGCTTGACAAGCACTGTCACAAGTGTAGATAATTTTAAATGAATATTAACACAAGACTAGCTATTTAGAACAGATCGATCATTACAAGGATACCTAGAGTTAGCTCTCTTGGAAATTTCTTGCTTTCGCAAATACCTGTTCATGAAGATTGAATACTATCAAAACATCAAAAGCAAACACAAAAACGAGGACTAGAAGTGGTTTATCTCAACAGTTTATCACCTGACGAAGTGCAGTAAGGATTCACCGCCAAAAGTGTCGCTCACAAAAGCTGCAAATGCATTTTAAACATCCATCCGGTCTAATGACCCACCTTTGGATATCTTTTCATCGAAGTCCACAAAAATAAAGAGCTCTCACTAAAAGTCTCTGGAATACGTTGGGTCCTATGCACAATAGCAAGAAATGAAGATATTGATATTGCACTCTCGAGCGTTTTTCGGTATTTTTCAACCATGCATGTAAAGGTGCGTAGTAGCTAAAAACTTTCTCAATCTGATCCGTGAGACAAACACGACGGTAATTTAAGCCTTTAGGAGTGACCCTTTTAAAAAAAGACTGTAAAGAGCCATACATGATCCGATGCCAAATCAAGAGACTAAAGTCGCGAAGGTTTAGGATGGCCATTTGTACCTCTCAGCCACGTACCCCTTCACGTACTTTGGATTCTGCCCGAGAAATAAAATTGATGGGGTTCAACGCGAATAGGTTGATCAGCACTAAAATATACCATTTACTATAAGCTATACACGAAAGAAGAGAAAATCTCTTCCTTGGAACTTGAAACACTAAAGGAGTAGTACGACATAACATTCGAATAAAAGGAAAAGGATAGACCTTTCGGCGATGATCAATCTTTGAGAGATGCACCAGGCACTTGATTTCAACAGGCATCGTAGAGGTGATCGAATGCGTATCTAGCCTACACAATGACTTGCTGCGGCCTACTGATGTATCAAATCAGTGATTTTATTCCCCTAGATGAGTTTGATAGCAGCATGCCGATCTCCAAGCGGTAGAGTGATTGGTTTGTCCTAGGAGCGAGATCAAACCAAAAATCTTTTGTCTATTGCTAGCGCTACATGAGCAACAAACATCTTTGGAACACTACAGAATTCGAAAGTTCAAGAAACTGTCATGGTAGTATATTTCATAGGATATTCCCGAAAAGAGGAGCTTTTTGAGAAACAATTAACAAAAATCAAACTAATAAAATTTTGAAAAAAAAGCGATAGAGGGAGGTCTTAAATAAACGCGTTAGCAATCTTATTCCTTTGATAAGCTTACAGGAGGTTGATAGATAATCTTTATTCGGTTAACGTTTCCATGTCTTTGTCTTCATCAGAGCCGATGGTCCTAGTCGGTGGCTCACAGTTACTTGTCTTCTCCATGTTGTGTCTTCGTCTTCGTACTGAGCCGGATCCTCCTCAGTGGAGCATCTCTCGAATGAGGCATACTCACACGGCGATAGTCTTTTACACATACCTTATATCAATTTCGTGTAAGCTTGCCAACGCAAGAATACATATTGACTAATTTCCACGATCGGCTTCCTATTAACCTCTGATATCTTGCAAAACGTGCAGGGACGAACACATTGGCGAAACGGGTGGACCACTCTGCATCCGTATAAAAGAACATCTAGTAGGTAAACTTGAAGTTAAACCAACTACTCCACTAGGCACGTATAGGACACAGAGACATGACGGGGAATATTTCGAAGTAGAAGTTACGATCCTCGAACAGAACTCGAAAACGCAAGCGCGCAAAATTCTCGAGACATTCTGGATTAACTCCAAGAAACCAGAAATAAACTGCAGGAAGGAATGTGTCACAATCATGCGTGATATTGGACAGTATTTAACACAGTTATTTTAATGTGAGGGGCACACTACACTTCCGAGTGAACTCTGTGCGGTTGGTCTCCACGTGAAATACTCAGTGGAAGATCCATAGAAAGCGTTGAGTGTGCAAGGAAATTATTCTGTGTTCAATGTGATTGAAATCTTGGTTTAGTACTTTCTCTATTTGGTTATCGAGGTGTTTTACTGGTTAGATTGCGGTCAACTTGACCTTTCCAGGTTCTGAGGCCAAATACGCCGAAACATCAGCTTTGCCGTTTTGTTCAACAAGAGTATAAAGAATTATTGGATCAGTGCTGAGCGTAATAGAAAGTCGGTCATGGGAATTAGTTAGCATTTATTTTTTCTCTGATAAGCTTACGAGGGGTTGATATAAGATATATATAAAAGAGCACCGCCGGGTGACTATACCTCATTCGAGAGATGCTCCACTGAGCAAGATCCGGCTCTATTCGAAGACGAAGACGCATCATCGAGAAGACGAATAACTGTGGATTATCGACTCGGAACATCTCTTCTGATAAAGACGAAGACGTGGAAACGTTGACCGAATAAAGATTATATATCGACTCTGTGTAAGCTTATCAAAGAAAGAATACATATTAATCAGTCACACCGAGGTTGAAGCGAAGTCGGTTTTGAAATATTTTGTTTTTGTCAAACAATATAGTTGTCAAAACTGATAATAACATAATCACCTCCACCAAAATTTCAACGGAAAATAGCCTTAACAACCAGTTTCTTGATAATCGTGCTCACACAATGAAAATCATCAGCCTACAGTTCCTTATTCAGAAACCCAATATGTCATTTTGAGGAATCCTAGAACGTCACCTTCCAATTTAATTTGAGTATTCAAAGGACTCACCTTAACTCTAACACTAGCGTGGTCTTTCTAAGTTCTATAAAGCAAGCTAACCTCATGTACAATAGAAACTCGCTTAATCCATTTTACAAGATGGATACGAGACTTGCGTGATGATGGAGAACACCAACCCATCTCTCCACTCAGATGTCAGCTTTGCGTAATTGGTTTCATCTAAGTTTAATTTGTCTCATAATCATCGATACGGGATGGAATAGCGACAGAACGGATTATTGAACTCTTGAGAAACTAGCACTAGATACGTAAAGAAGAGCGACCGAGAGTATTAGGACAAGGCATAGAATGATTGTCAGAAATCTAAAAACTTGGGACCTTAAATAATCAGTAGGAAAAGGGTGTCACGATAAGGTCGCAAAAGAATGGAAAAGGAAGTGAGGACAACGAAATATAAAGGTTTACGAAAGTACTCAAGAGTGTTATTCCTGCCGATAACAAAAACCAGACTTACTGCTGTACAAACTGTCGTAAACGATGAGTTAGATCAAATATGTTCCTGTCGTACAGAATTCGTTCTCTAGAGACTGCGATCTGTAATCGCCCTAATTCGTTGTGCGTGACAATAAAGTGCTACATGACACACTAGACTGGCATTTACCAGCAATCAATAAAATCCACCAACCGTCCTTATGTCAACTGTGTCCCATTCTAAACATCTAGACCCAGTTAAGATTTTAGACCCTTTGCGGAATAGACTCTTCGACAAAACTATGAACTTTGTCCCACATAAAACGTGTGAATAACACTTCAAGACAAGAAGTTGGTAGAATTCGATAGAAGTTTTGAAATGATTTCAGGGGCTGTGCCGAAAGAAGGAGGTGGGAACAACTCTTTAGCCGTTGGAGGAAATGTGCCAAGTGCTAAGAGTCGCTCAGCAGTACAGGCGAGGTTCGAATATGCTTATGGTCAGTTTCCCCATATTTTGCCTAGAACCAAACTCAATGCATTGCCGATTTCCTGTAGGATCAACTGAATTCTCATTCATACCCAATTCATGTGTGAAGCAGAACGGAAGATCTTTATATGAATCCCTAATATAATTGCATTTCGCTACGCATAAAGGATACAGTATATTCCAACTACTTATAAATTCGTAGTATAAGATGGAAAGCAAAAAAGATCGTAACATACGGAGTTCTCCGTGGGTTTTTTTTCTATTTTTGAAGATACGAACAGGACCACAGATCTCTCTCGTAGCAATACGTAACTATCAAACGCTAAACAGTAAAATAGGTGTGAATCATTCCCATGACCACGAAAGTGCTCCCGATACGGCAGCGTTGGGTAGGACGAGAACGAAGAGGCTGATAAAATCTCAGGACCATTCTAGGCTGCCTAAATCGCAAAGAACTAAAGTGACTACCTGTACCTACAACGCGCGCACATTTGAATCTGAGTCCTCGACAGAAGGCTTGGTCATGTAGGCTCGAAGGATAAAGTAAAACGTCATCGGACTGGCCAAGACGAGAAGACGCCACTCATTCAACGCGACGGTAGAGGAGTCGCCGCCGTCGGCGTTCTCGTCATCACGAGTTTCGCCACGGACATGGATTCATTCGAACGACTAACACTCCAAATCGAACTATACTATTGAAGAGATGTGGATCAATACCGGTTTTGTTAATCCTGCTCATCTACACACTGACGTCAAACTATGATGAAGACAAAGTTGAAACTTTCTATATGGACTTGGCGAAGTTCTGCAGAAAAGACCACACATTATTATATTTGGAGACTTTAACGCTAAGATTGGACCCCATAGCCAGTCTGAAGAAGGTCATATTGGAACCCTCGGATTAGAATGGAACCAACAAAATGAGCGACTCTCTGAGCTTATCATGACGACCGAGACCATCCATGGTAACTCACATTTCCAGAAACCCTCCTCACAATGCTGTACATGGGACCTTTGCAGTGGAAAGTGCTATAACGAAATAAATCACATCATGGTAAATCCAAGGTTTTGCCTAACCGATGAAGCTGTTGTCCAAAAATTCGATACGGGATCAGACCATCGCCTCCTTCATGCAAGATTTCATTTCTTCTTGAAAGGAGAAAAAACAACTAAATTCGAAAAACAAAATCCCAAAAGCACCATAGACTGGGATTTATTCGGTTCATTAGTCGGTCGTTAGGAAGATATCGTTCTCGATAACACTGTCGAGGAATATGGTTTGCTCGTTCAACGTCTTCACCTTAGTGCTACGAAAGCCGAGAGTTCTAGTGTTGCCGAAAGACGTTCGTCTCCAGAAACACTCGAGCTCATATGCCAACGTGGAATCGCACGAGCTACAGAGAACCGTCTACTCAAGTCTGTACTTGAAACAATGCAGAAAGGTGATAAAAGAATATCTTATAGAGAGAAGTGCAGCAGTTATGGTCGAAATTGCAGAAGGTAGGAAAACCATTCGCAAAGCCTATTGAAGTTTCGTCAATTACAAAATCAAGATAGGTGCACTCCGACGCCTAGACGGAAGAGTCACAGTTTCCAGAAGGTAATGGAGAAAACCATTCACGATTACTACTCGAATCGCTTCAGTAGATATGCTCTTCTGCTCGCGTATTGAATAAAGGAGGATGGACATGCCGTCCCATCGGTTTTCACATCCGAAACCCAACGTGCTATTTGGTCGGTGAAGAACCGAACAAAACTTAGTCCGAACACCATAAGACCTGAATATCTGAAGAACCTATTATAGTCTAATGTAAATGTTGTCTGTCGTTATAAACTCCCCACTCGAGTCTAAGCGGGATTGCTGGAACACCGGATGAAGGTCAGCGATGTGACCAGGTAGGATCTGGAAAGGGATATTACACCATCGTCGGCTCGCTAATGACATCGTTCGTATAATACTAAACATTAGTCAGGCCGAACGAATGTTTGCCCACTTTTATAACTCGATGTTTTTCTTCAATAAGCAGACACGAGGTTGTTATTATAGGATTTCTTAGGATACAATAGCTGACGTTTCAGCGGTTTCGCCTTCTTCAGAGCCATTTATTTGTTGTATTTAAGTTAGTTGATGGACAGCAGCCACACAGAGTAATACATGGGCGATAACTGTCATCAGACAGTGCCCACTTCTTCGTCTCCAAGACTCTTCCTGCCTTACGTATGCGTCTCAAGCCTGGCTACTACGTAAGCACGATGAAAGCTCATTCCACGTTATTGGATGCGCAGTCGAAAGGACGATGCTAAGAGTATCTCTTATCACCCATGTGAGGGAGAGATCCGGAGCTCCTAACTACTTAGGCGATAAAAATCAAAGGTGCCGTTCTTTACGTTAATATGTTGAAAATTAGGTGGGCTGAACACCGGTCTGAGCGACAACCGATGAACAACAAGCGATAGCTACTGGATTCCTCGAGATATGAAACGCAAAACAGGACAGCCACCGACTAGATGTCCAGAGTTCCTCACGAAAATCATGGAAGAAATGTGTGGTGATCAACAGCCTCTAGATTGTGCAGAACTCATTGCATTGTACTTGCACACGAGAGGGAAAAATGCAAGGCTTACTGGTACTCATTCGAGTAACTCGACGACCAAACGGACAATGGCTGACAAAGGTGAACTCAAGTTTCAAGAACAGAAGATTACGTTACAATGGGTGCTACTTGAACGGTTAAGGCTTTTTCCTTTAGAATCACTGAAATAAAATGGTACTTGTAGTGCTCGTAGCCTAGGCGACCCTTTAAACTAACCGTTAAAGAAACAGCTCAACAAACAAGACTTCCAAACATGGGAAACACTAAGATGCTGATATATGAGCAAAACTACTTTGTTAGTTTGATATCTTTGTTCACATGTCAATATCTTTGTGGTTGTACTTTATATCGTATTCAGCCATGAAAACAGATTAAGCGGTGAATAAAAGTTAGAAGAAAGGAAACACTTTTTTGCGATATGTAAGATATGTAAGGCTCCATTCTTTCCATCACTATCACACCCAAACTGTACCACCACACTTTCCACGCCTCTTGAAAGAATACAAAATCTCTTTCTATATGTTTCACTACAAAACGGAAGCTTTAGTGCTCATTTAACTTTAGGCTACGTGCCAAACTTCGGTGCGCGAACTCTGAACACTAACGCGGCTACGAAGCAACAAAATGCAGGTCGGATTGACTGGACGGCCAAGTGAGTCCGCTTCTTCGTTCAAAACTAAAAGAGACAATTTTCGATGGTTAGCGAAGCTCCTTCCTTATGACCCTATTTCGGTAGATGGAATTCACGACTCCTGAACTCTCAAAATCCTGAAGCTAATCATTATGTAATTATCTCTTCTCTCTATCTCCTACGATCTCTTTCCAGGTACGTCCGGAATTGAGAATTTCTCACGTCTACTTATCAAATGCTCATCACGAACGTGTACCCATGAAACAAAACCTACTCGTTGTATTATAGAGGGAATTTTCGTTTCCCTTACATTGAAAATGAATTGTCACAAATGCAGCCATCTGGTGTAAATCTGATAACACTAAGCCCAATGTACTTCAATTCAAAAATCCAACTTTCTCACCTTAATCGAACCAGAAACTCTATCTTATATATCATACTAGTACCAATCATCAGGGCGGAACAATTTATACTTGGTCTCCAATAGTAAAATTTATGAATGAAATATCCCGAGCACCCGTTCACATTGTTCACAAAGAAATGATGACTCGGAAGGAACAACAAAAAACTGGAAAAAATAGCAGTACTAACGATTCTGACCGGTCGCTATTTGCGACTTCACAGTTGCTGTACATAAACAACATCATGTTTATAACGATTCACAAATTAATATTTATTACGTTTCTTAATGCGTGCAAATCAATTCCACAAACACCAGTTTTGTACAAAAATAAGAGCATTTATTCCAGATACAAGTTAATATCCTACTAAATCCTAGTCAAGAATCGAAATTTGTGTGGCATTTAAGTCTTCCAAGAACGGATCAAGAATGTAATACAATAAAACGAAGACAAATTGATGAAGTGAAGTGGGAGGAAGAAAATGTAAGACTGGAAAGTGACGCAAAGAGAATAATTAGCGCGAGTCTAATGATAGCGCTTGAAAATGAAATGACAACAGTTCAAGAGCACAAAATGAAAGCCATGAATGGCCGTAAATATACGCACCAGGCGTCGTAACAGTTACCTAAAAAGTCACTTTTTTTGTTAAAAATGTGTATTGAGCAACATATACGATCTGTTTCATTACAGTTCACCAAGAAAACATCCCTAGATCATTACTTGGAGGAAAGCACATCATGTGATGCATGAACCGAGGCATCTTCGCTCATATTGTCTGAACATAAACTCATATCTTTGTCGTCGTAATTGTCGGTCATTTGCAAAAATGCATTCTCTCTTTCCCATAAACGAAAGCCTCGCGTGGAAATGTCAACCGTTTCTCTGCCGACCATTTGTCCCATGGCAAGTCTAGCTGCTCTAGAAACATCCATATCGTTATCCATTACCAGTTGCTCCAGCACGACTCTAACGTCCAATGAGGACGTAGTCTTGAAGTCATTCGTTGTCGCAGAATGTAACGATGGACCAAGTAGAGAAAGTGCGCGACAAACAGCTATTCGGACGTTTACGACATCTGCAAATAATGTTATTTAGACTTCGTCGTAACAAAACAAACTCTTACCAACGAATACCGTCAGATGCCATTGATAGAAGATGAGGCAAAAGGAAAAGCCGGAACTGCTCTTGCGATAGAGAACGATCCTTGAGCACGCGTTCGCAAACAAACACAAATCTGTAACACACCAAGTGAAAAATACGAGCTCATACCATAGTGTCCTTATTTTTGCAAGAAGCTTTTAGGAGTTGGAGCAGTGGCTTAAGCAGGATTAGGACACTTGATTTCTATCATCAGAACCCCTTCTGTTATCTGACAAATTTATGCAATCTAACAGTCCTACACACAATTTTATGACATAGTCGAGATGAATCCACATGCTAACATTTTGTTCAGCTTTCACAACATTCTTATACTACTGAAGTCTTCCAAGCCTTCTCAAGTATTTAATCGAGAGTAAACTTTTTCTTTCGAGCAAGAAACGCATTTTTTGTACTGCCTAAATTTAGTAGCGGCGCAAACTTCAATTAGCAATTTTGCAAAAAGAAACCATATGATGAAATATTAAAAAAAACTATAGGCTGGGAAGGCATGGAGACAGATTAACAAGTGGAACAAGTATTTATATCTCACGTTTGACGACGAGTCCACTTCTGGGTATTTGCGAAACCGTTGACTAAATCATGGACGAAAAGCTCTGTTAATGACGTGGATGAAGAAGAATGAGCATTCGACTCAACATCACCCGTCAGGTAAGACCATTCATGATCCACTAATCGTGCGAGAATTTGCGACAGAAGTGAGACCGCCTCCTTCCGTACTTCTGCTACTCTATCTGAAATCTTACGTTTCCATATTCATTTAGGCACTACCAATAATTTGGAGACTAAATAACTTCATTGTTTGAATAATAGATGTGTAGCAGTACACCACCAAATTGACGAATTTTTTTCAGTATTTCTAAAAATATGAGCCATACTCCCAAGGTTTACCCCTGAGTAAGCAACAAATTATCAACCGAATTATCAACCATTTCCCAACTCCAACCTACCCTTTAGGTATAACAGGCGAAACAGACCAGGATAGATAATGTTTCTGACGGTGGTATCCTGTGGATTCAGTGTTAATAATCATCATTTCTCAAGGAGAACCAAGCTACGATCAACATCTTGCTAGCGACTTCGGACGAAAAGTAAGGGGAGCTTGCGGTCCAGAGTTTTGCAAATATCTCAGCAACGTTGTGGTTGTATTTCGCTTAGTACCCTGCCGCGAAATTATAATAGGCAGAAAATAAAAAGGTATAACATTGTGATTTCAACTACAGCCGCAGCTTAACTGGGTTCTATGCCGACTCGGGCGCCCCAGATCAATCCCGCTGACGGGTGATTGCTGCGGCAAAGATCGATAGAAATAGCTGAGAGACAAGCGAAACGAAGGACCCGCATGGTGTGGTGGTGAACGCGTTACTCCCCGGAAAGGACAATAGCGCGTTCGTTCCCCACCATAGACACTTGCGGTCCAGAGTTTTGCAAATATCTCAGCAACGTTGTGGTTGTATTTCGTTTAGTACCCTGCCGCGAAATTATAATAGGCAGAAAATAAAAAGGTATAACAAGGGGAGCTTAATTCAAATGAAACTCAAGACGAGTCCCGGAACTTGGCGCGGCAAATAGCCATTTCTAATGGCTATGAAACTGTAGCTCGGGATAGGTGTCGGGGAAATCCGAGGCCACCAAACGACAACTCTAGCGATAAAAAGGTCCCGTTTATCCTACCCTTCATCTCAAATGATATAAGTACTGCTATAAAACGATGCCGGTTTAGAGACTTCAGTAAACGTAGTTGAAATGCCACCGAGTAATCTAAGACGCCGGCTAGTTCGTGACCGCCTATACGACCGTCTATGTGCAACGCGAAATTGCATAATTTGCCCCAATGGTAGAGACGGTGACTGCATGAGTTCGGGTACAGTCTATCTGATCTCTTGTAAAGCGCGCCGGGTCGAATACGTTGGCGAAACGGGTAGACCACTCTGCGTGCGTATAAAAGAACACCTAGTCGGCAAACGTAAACCAAATACCCCACTAGGGACGTATAGGACCCAGAGAAATAACGGGGATGACTTTGAAGTACGTGTCACGATCCTCGCACAGGAATCGAGAACACAAGCGCGCAAAACTCTCGAGGCGTTCTGGATCAATTCTAGAAATCCGGAAATGAACCGCAGGGAAGAATGCCTCATTATCACGCGTGATATATAAGACAGTATATAAACCTGTTATTCTGATGGGAGGGGCCCATTACGCTTCCATGTGAGTTCTGTGCGGTTGGTCTTCACACGACATACTCAGTGGAAGACTGAAAGCGGTGAGTGTGCAGAGCTGTGTTCAATGTGATTGAAATCTTGGTTTAGCGTTTTCTTTGTTTGGTTATGAAGGTGTTTGGCCGAATAGATTGCTGTCAACTTGACCTTTCCAGGCTCTGAGAAAGGCGAAGTCCGCCGAAACGTCAGCTCGTACGTAAATAAAGAAATAAGATAACATCTTGGTTTGGTATTTTCTCCGTTTTGGTCATGAAGGTGTTTGGCTGAATACATTAAGGTCAACTTGTCCTTTCCAGGCTCTGAGGAAAGCAAAATCCGCCGGACGCAACGTCAGCTCTTTTGTGAACAAAAAATAACGTAACAACCTCACGTGTGCTTATCAAGAAAACAGTGAAAATTGAAAAGATCTACACTTTACCATAATACTTCATACCGATATAGGCGAATACGAGTAAAATACCCGCGGTGCAAAAACAGTGTACATACCGTTGGCCAAAGTGAGTGCGATAGCGCTCATGGTTCTATTGATCTCCTCGATACCATACATTGCGCAAAGCTTGTTACATTGCCTGAGTGAATTAAACTCAAATGATAACCGAGTAGTACAAAATATACACGCAGAACGCCTACTTCACAAACTCGTATCGGTATCGCCAGTTCCCATTGAGCAGTGAGTTATCCATTGGCATAAACTGCGGCAGCGCGTCAACCATACACTTTCGCGTCTCTGGAGATAGACACTGAAATCGTCCCAAATTTATGACATAAAAACACAACTTAAGAAAAAGTAAATCATGATACATCATAAAACATGCCCAAGTGAATCGTGGCATATTACGATATGAACGCATAACTAAGAAAGCACATAGATAGACCGACACAGGAATCCGAAAACCGGAAGAATTGAGTAATAATGAGAAACGAACCTTGTAAAACTCAAACAGGTGTTTAAGAAGGCCTAGACGTACTTCGAACTCGTCCTCCCTGAAACTTAACGTGGATAAGGACATGTATAATATGAAAAACTGGTCGAACAAAAAGTAATTGATAAATACACATACCAGATATGATAAAATAGCTTTAATTAACAATGATTTTACAAATGTATACGACAGTGAGTTAAATGTGCATATGTACTAACCTATAGGCGTGGAATACTGGAAGAAGATCATCGTCAGTGTGCCGAGCCCCAACGATTGCTGCCATTTCGTGGATAGAATTTGCTATCGTCACACGAACGCTAAGCTAGAAAAAGGAATTCGAACTGCTTATCCACCATAAGCTATGATCGGTATATGGCTCCACTCTAAAGAGTTCGTCGCGAACGTATATCATTCTAAAGTTCGTTGTTCCACTTCCCAAGAAAAAAACCACACCTCATTTTTCATTGTAAAATTCAGTTGCTTTACTTGGTTGTTCATCGATTTCTGTAATATTGCATCTCATAGAACCTCTAAGTTCAGTTATGGACCTATCCATGGTTCTAGTACGTCCCTAGTCTCTTAAGCAATGAGAAAATAGTCTCCACGGTCCACTCATGGTGCAGTCAAACAGCCGGTGATAGTCGATTCAACAACATTTGTTTGAGCATACTTCTTTATTTTCGCGTATTTCTTATATCCATCAATGCTATACTATGAAAGTGACTAATCATGGTAATTAGAAAGAATATCAACTACTGGTCCGAACTTGAATTCTGTGAGCAATAAATATGTCAGTAATGGACGAATTGGACTCCATTTTGAATATACTCTCCATCGAAAGTTAATTCATTGATGAATTTCTCATCCTGACTAGGAGAATCACATTCGCTCAATAAACACTGTAAGAGGTGTAAGAGAAGCGAACAGTGTACGAAAAGGATATCCACCTAGAACTAATTTCTAAGCCGCCAAGAATTCTATTATTGGAAGTGCAGCTGAATCCGTGGTACTGACCCTAAACGATAAGTGCTTGGAATCACGAAGACATTTGTGTATTGATAATTGGTATAGAGGTGTTCGATTTGGTAAAAGATTACTCGACGGAAAGGCTCATCTGATCAACTCGTGTAGGTGAAATAGAAAAGGTCTCAAGAAGGCCGTATAGTAGAAGGTAAGAAAAGGATTGCTGAAGACTCATCAGTATAAAAGCGGTTATAGAATGAGGTGAAAAAAACAAGGGAACATTATTATGATGTCCATTGTGTCTGAAGCCACCTTCTAATTCACTCGTCAAGAGTGAAAGTCGTCGAAAGCTACAACCATGGAAAACTCTTCGAGGAAACAAGTGATCATATGCATTCTGTCCTCCACATGCGACAAGAAAAAGTAGGCATTATCCACATCTTTGCTTCCTTACGATTTAGGTACAACCTTTTATATCCATAGTTGGAATATAAAAAGCTCTTCTTCAACCGTGTAATTTAAAACTTGTTGGAGGACGCACGGAAGTTCTAGTGCAATAATTTGCATCAAATTAGGATTACTGAGTTCAAATTCAAATATACATCAGTTCGTTTTCAACTTAACTGTGTTCCTAAACTCATAGCTGTTTGAAGAGAAGTACGACAAACAGATACTGTGATTGCAGTCATATATGATAATAGAACAATTTCAAATTTCTTTCAATACCTACCCACCCACAAGATCAACACAGGATGAAACCGACAAGGAAAAATTTCTTCCGATTGTTTTAAAAACACCCACAACAGTATACAGAGGATATGAGTTTTACAACAGAGGTTGTCTGCTGTAAAAGTTGCGGTTTCAAGCTACTATAGAAAAACTAAAGCAGTAAATTGTAAAAACTGCATATTTTGAAGCAGACTTCTGAATACAACATCTATAGCACTAGTTTCGCTTTAAAAAAAAGGAAAAATAAGAACATATAGTACTCCACACACACACACACATACTCCAAGCACTGCATGGAAGCATATTAATGTGTGCTCACTTTGTGAAGACATAGCTCATCTCTTAGGTTGTTCGGAAATTAATGGCGAATTGCAACCTACACTTTTTAAAGTGGCACATCTCAGCTCAAAAGATTTTATTAGTTGAAACGAAGACCACATTATACCATGAACCATTATAGCCCGCACATATTTGCCAACGAAAAACAAGTATGACTATATCGGCTGCTTAAAATTCTGGACTTCTGAGGGCGATGGAGTCATCGACAGTAGTTTCCGCTTCTACATGGTTTTTGAAGCGTTTCTCGCACCTGAAGTTATCGAAATGCTTGAAATAGTTGATGGATACAGCAAAAATTGATAGTCAAATTTGTTCAACTGAGGAATCTCGATGGTGCGAAAAAATATGGCCGCACGTCGGTAAGTGCGACTTTTTGCTCGTTCGTACCATATCCATTTGTCGAGTTTCCTCGACTTTCTTTAGGTGTTCCGAAACAGCTGAGATGCACAGATCGAGTTTTTCTGCATGATTCGAACAGTTGTGCACGTATTTGCTTCCTTCCAGCAAACTTTCCAGTTCATCGTCGTCAACAGCAGAAGAATGTCTCTGACCGTCTTCAACGTCGAATTCGTCATGGCGAAATTTTTAAAGCCAAATTCGCAGTATGCATTCCTGAGCACTTCTTTGCCACCAAAGTTCATTAGTGTTTCGAGTCGTCTATGCTGCTTACGATTGAGTATGAAGTCGTAAAAGCAAATTTGTCGAATTTGCTGCTTTTACATCACAATCTTTAACTTGTAAAATTTGTAAAAAGAAATCCAATTTACATTACAGTTAGATTAAACCCAGCAAATCCACATAAAATAGCTTTGCAATGATACATAGTAGTACGTCAGTCGGAAGAAAAAACTATTGCTAAGGCATGTAAAAGAAAAATATTACAAGTCGAACATCAATTTCCGAACAACCTAATAGCTCAGCAACTTTTTCTTGATTGGGATGCACTCTAGACTATAGTTCCATATATACAATTGTCCTCAATGGTTTACCACCTTATCGTGGCCAAGTAGCCTTAGCTGCCTAAATTTCAGTGTACATGTACAGCTTGAAGAACTTAACACCTGCTTCACCAACTATTTGTGATACCCCGCCATATGATTTAAAGTAAGCGAATAAACTCAACCGAAAAGTGGTTTTTGCATTCTATAAAGTGTATAGAGTATAGGTCTTCGCGAAGCACACCTGACACATATGTGTTGGATTCGACTATCGATAGAAAACAATGGAACGGTAAAAAAGACAGAATCTATGTAGCAAAAAAACGGTCAGAAAGAAAACGAATCCTGTATTATTAATAATGCCTGCTTTGTTCTCACCTGATCATCGGTAGCAAGTTTGTTGTAGGTCTCTCTCAACTGTGGCCAATTAGCCCTTCCAAGAGTGTACGCTACAGCAGGGAAATTATGGGCGCAATGTCGATTTATGTCTGAATCCACCTTTCCACTAGGCAAAACCATTCCCATGAAGTTGTCAACCAGTTCTTGAGGAACTATTCTCTAAATTACAGGTTAAAACAAAAGTAACCAAAACAAAGGACATAGCAGGAAAACCTGGATTGCTTCTTCTTCGAAAGATCCGTCGAGATTCTGGTCGTCTTCGCTTGTACAGTCGACTAAGAACTCGCCATAATCAACCTGTGAACACAGATCATCACCCTCTGAACTTGCCGCACTACTTCGAGTTCGATGTGGACTTGTAGTCGAAGTGCAGCTTCGTTCCGGCGACACGTACAGTAGATCAAAACGTCGCTCTAAGAAGGAATGCGCATTTGGCACAGATATGGACGATCCGAACTCAACCAGTTCGTCACTGAAAGAATTAATATGAGGTGAACAGAGTTTTGAAAAAAGGAGTTTGAAACAACTAATATTTAATCAGACATACGCGAAGGTTCCGATTTTTCGATAACGGCGAGTATTTTTTAACTAGCTGAGGGCCTAGCAGATTTATATAAGACTTTTTCGTAGTCCTTTAGGCCTGCTACTTCGCCCCTCCCCCGATCCAACTCGGTCGGTGTTAACTAACTGCTGAAGATGCCACCGTTTTGCATGGATCCTAGTTCGTAGAGCAAATAAATCCTCGTTCAATTTCCAACAGGCCCATCCCATGAATAGTATTCGAGTAACTGGGTACACCATAGCGTAATTAGGAGCTGGGAACAGCCTAGCGTGCCTATCTCTAAAATTCCAGAGAAGACTACACTCAGCCAGAACTCAACAAGTTAATTACTATAAGGCAACTAATCTTGAAATCATGGCCGAATCTAATATCAACGTGAATACCTTTAAAAATGATGAATGCAGGGGAATAAAATCAACACGAAATTTGCTCGGGTTCATATGACGACCGCCCCAGTATCTAAGTATTTTAGAAGAGGCTTTCGGCTACTACTTTAATGATGTATAAATCTGCTTAAATTGCAAAGTTGAAATCTTAAAGTCAGAGCGGCAACTGCAAACGTTCAACAGTGCATTTGACAACACTATCGTATTCTGTTAGACAGAATCCCGCTTTTTCTATTGCACCGCTGATCTAGATAGTAGTCTCGGCAGAAAAAAAGTAAAAAGGATAGAAAGCGAATTGTGGACCCCACTAAAATAGGAATTTTCCGTGGTCGAATAAGAAAACTTGCCTCTCATTGATGGAGATTTGCAGATTCCTCTCGTTTTTACTTCAATTAATAAAATTCATTGTGAGCTATATTTCTGCACAAAGTTCAAAGGTTAAGTTTTTTCGGCTACATATGAGTCATACGCTAGTCATGTGGTAGAAAATGCGTCAAATTTTCACACAACGGAAACCTACTGATCAGCAAAGGTAGCGTACGAATCCAACCAATATGAAGCCGAGGTAAAGCCTTCCATCTGATTTGAAGACTGAAAATTTCATACATTAAGCTATGGTTAAATGCACCACAAAACTTGATGTCAGATTAAGTATTTGTATCGACTTGATTCCGCTACAACAGAATGAAAACGTCAAAACTTCGGCACAAGAAGAACGATCAGCCTTACTGAACATCACTCTAAAATCATTTTTGGTCACAAGTTTCTCCCTATGATGTTGATAAGTCTGCAAATTATATGGTACCATCAACATAAAACTCCTACGTAAAAAAGTTTCTGGGAGTTTCGTTTGATCAGAAACCACCAAAATGCCATACAAATAGGTAAATGGATTAACTGACTTCAGCCGACAATGCAGAATGCTCGTGATCATCCGGTGCCTCGTTTATTGACAAGCTCAGTGTTGTATCCAATTCACCAATATCCTCAAGCTCATGATCATGAGTGTCGTTTATTGACAAGCTCATATCCAGTTCACCAACTTCCTCACCATTATCGAGGCCTAATCTAAAGAAATTAACACATGGCATTGTTTGCTGAATAAGTAACATTGACGTTTTTATTACTCTTCTTTTGACCTCATAAACACTTGATAGCAGCATAGTCGCCGTACTTCTTCATAATTTCAAGTGATGTTTTACCAATAATGTGACCATTGAAAGGAATCTATTTAATAATTCAAGTTCTCTATAAAGACATCGTAGAATTATGTCGAAAGAACGTAAGGGATATCAAGAAACACTTTTATTTGACCACCTGTTTATTCGTTTACAGTACAAAACCCTCGAATTTGCGAAACAACACTACTTTGAGGAGCTGTTGTCACACCCACAACTTATGGACAACGACGCACCAGTAGCTACGGTTTAACAGAATCGTTTAAAGGAAGCACTGACTTGGATAAATCGTCCCATGAATTACACTTCGCGGCGATGCTGATACGGTCACCACGGTACGAATCCTCATCCTCACTAGAAATATCACCAAATTTTTGTTGGAAACAAAGTGGTAAATCACTAAAATACCTGGTCTATTCTAAATCAAATATTTGAGAAACGAATGGATGGAAACTAATGAACTCACAGTACACTAGCTGGTGCACTGTGGAAAGAGCTCTCCTTCCGTCCAGAGGTCCACGTTTCCAACATGTGCTGCAGACCACCAAGTAACCTGCAAATTAAAAGAAGTGCTAAGGAAAAAACTCGGTGAATTCGCTTGCATGATAAATAAAAAAGGGAACATACTGTACATCATCATCACGAGACTTTAATTCTTGTCCGCTGTTTTCCACTACCTCCTCTGCATCAATTTCTGGCATACAACAACCCGCAGGAAGGTCTTCAAAATCTGCTGATTCGGTAACAGCGCTTTCCAAATCACAATAGTCGTTTGACTCGCAAACCTGCAAACCATTTTGTACAGCTCAAACACAGAATTTTAATATGGATATTAGGCAAATATATACCTGTCCGTCCATTATTTTTAACCCAGAAAGTTTTGAGTTAGCGAAAGTTGCTATGAATGGCCCCAACTCCTGGAAAGCCGTGTACCACACCTATAAGAAAAGCACAGAGCGAGATTGTGAAGAACCGTGTACGTATGCGTAGGCAACTAACAAGGACAAAAGTAGTGATAATCACTCCCAACAAAAACGTTGCGCGAAATTTGGAAAAGAGTTATTTGCTGCCATAAACTGAATACACAATGAAATGGTGACAAACGGTTTGTATTCTTTCCGCTAGGGTGCCACCGAAAGCACTGTCCAGCTCGATTATTGTGTCTTATATTCGTTTCGAGAGAAATGCAATCGTTAAATAGATCACCACAAGCTATTAGAAATACACTAGTAGTAACGTATTAACTGCAAACGTTGGTATTTTAAGGAGGGAGGGACAGGGTAACGAAGAAAGAATAACCACCTAGCAAAGTGAACCCTTCCACCTAAAATTTCCTTTACGTTCTCTCTAGTCGCCTCAATGAATAGTCTCGTAGACGTTAATCATTCAACGACATTCATGAGAAAAGGATGAAGTCTTCAAGTAGGAATCTAACCTACAAGTAATCCGAAGAATTTTGTGGGCAACGGTTTCAAGGCAACGAAACGAATGAAAGAGGTGCTGAGATCCGCATATCATGTGATGATCGGTCATGTAAATGAAAGAGAAATTTACATTTATTCCTTTTCATGAGTATTTCATTCAATAATGCGATGACAAGCATTACGATGCTTGTAAGATATGTCACTGTACAGGCGTAAATTTAAAAACGGACAATGAACGTACAAGATGAAATTTATTAATCTTAAAAACGCCCAATTTTTTATTTGAACCAATACTTCGTTACTTACTTGGATGGCTCATTTTCACCAGTTGTGCGGACCCCAGCACAATATCCACTCTCCAGGACTTGCTGGTTTAGCCATCGTGGTTCCCTGGAGACACGAGGACAGCCTGGCCAAAGTGTGCTCCAGGTCGTCACCACCACAGGAAGCCGCAGCCCTTGTGGATCAGAGGGAGATTTGCCACCGTGCAACCAGTTTGATACCAGGACGGTGGTGGATACTGGTATTGGTTTACTCTTAAATTGGCTTGCTCATGGGAACGCCGGACTCCTCAGCTGCGGAGAACCTGCCGGCAGGATGAACCCCCACTGTACATCAAGCCCGATACCAAGAAACACCTCCGAGCCACAATGAGGCGGTAAACCGCTGGGAGGTATTTGAACCAGCAGGATGTGAAATAAAGTACAAATCAATGAAGGAATTTATAAATGAATTAATGTTCGTAAAACCACTCACCCAACGTGACGGATCATGCAGAAGTTTCACGAATGTCTGTGCTAATTGTACACGTCGAACATTTGGCGAAGTATGGCGCGCCACTTCCACAAACACTTCACAAACCGCCTTTCTAACACCCCAGTTTGGATCCATACAAAGGCAAGATAGATGAGGAACAATGAACTGAAAATATAAAACTTCAATAAAATTGCGATAATACTTAAAGCCCTAACTGGAATCAATGTGTGATGTTACAATACGATAAAGCAAAGTAGCTTTTAGCATTGGAGGAAGTAGTAATCTCAGATCTGACTATAAGAAAGAGTGCTCTAACATTGAAATTAGAAAAGCTCGAACGTCTAAAGTTATGAAATAAAAGATAAAGGATAAAGGATAAAGCTCTCGGCATTGATCAATCCCTGAGAGATGCGCCATGCATTCGACTTCATTAAGCATCGTTCGACGTGATTGAATGCACATCTGGCCTTTACAACGACTCGCGGTGGGCTACCGATGTATCTAGCCAGTACTGATATCCTCCCAGACAAGTCTGGTACCAATTTGCCAACCCCGAAGTGATAGAGAGCTTGATGGGCGAGAGGCGTGGGAACCGATCCCACATGTGTGTCGCAGGGCGCCTCCGACCACTGCGCCACACGCGCTCATAAGTCTAACCATAGAAATATCACCATATGTATTCAACAAACTGAACGATAAAACATTACTTAAAGGCTAGATCATATAAACTAGATAAACTTATTCTAACTAGATGATTTCTGCATACCAAAACCAGGCTCATCGTGGCAGTTTCAGGGAGAAAGAACCAAAAATGAAGAGTAATGCCTTTTTACGCGGTTTTTCTTAGTACATGCAACGACGCCCATTTTTCACTGAGCACTGTATGCATTTAAATAAACGCAATACAAACCGGCCGAAGGACCACCAGCACGCAAATATCAAGTATCCTCCTCATTAGCACCAGTGGAGAATAATTTATAAAACAGAAAGATTACAGTGCTCCATCAATAGGCAATAGTCACGGTGACATTCAACTCAGAGCTGATATCTCCGTACTCCTCACTAAAATCAGTTTGCTAAAGCCCACGCTGGGAAAAAAGGAAACCTGTCCGAAAACATTTTTCTAAATCGTTTTTTTTGTTTTACACGAACCGTCCCTCAAATATACTGTGCGGATCCTATCGCATCTTGCATTTGATTGGTTTTCTCGCATCCATCTCTAACGATGATCTTCGAATTCCTTGCGTGTGGGTAGTCTGCTTGAAGATTTTCCTTTTTATCACGAATGTCGTTGAGTGCAGGTCGAGCCACTGGAGTCCTGAGAGAACAGGTCTACAGCGCTCTACATGGACTGCAGAAGATTAACTTTTCTCAAACGAATTTGGTACCAATTTCACGACCCCAGATAAATGGCCTCCAAACGGTTTACTGCCTCATCGTGACTGGGAGGTGCTTGTGGGTGTCGGACTGCGATGTACAGCGCGGGGATTCGTCCCCCTGGCAGTCTCCAAGCTGAGTCCGGCGTTTCCATCAGGAAGCCTAGCTGAGAGTAAACCAATACCAGGATCTATCACCGTCCTGGTATCAAAGTCGCATGGTGGCAATCTCCCTCTGATCCACAAGGGCTGCGAGTGCCCGTAGTGGTGAAGACCTGGGGCAGACTTTGGCCAGGCTGACCTCGGGATTCCAGGAAACCACAATGGCTTAGCCATCAAATCTCCGAAAAGTGATGATTATGCTAGGGCCCGCACAAGCAGTGAGGACGATCCGTTCAAGTATTAAGTAAGAAGAATGGCAAACTTGGTGAGCCGGGGCGGGGTCGATACAGCGTTATGCTCGTGGTAATCGACATCAATACCAGTGCTCTATCGATCCCTCTTCTAAATTATTATGTGTAGAAAGCAATGTTTTCCAAATATGCCAACCGAATACTCACATTTAAGTTGGATTGGGAAGGTTGTCGATTAAGTACAAAAGGTATAGAATTTTGCGTGGTAAAAGATTCAGGAAGGAAACCTATTGGTACCGACATGGCTCATATATGACTCGCGCGTTCTCAAAAATAATTGGGGCTCCCGAAATTCCTTCCTTCTTTTCGAACATTTTTTTCACATGACCCGCCATCATATCTATTGTGCGGATCCAAGCAGCTCTTAGATTAGATACGTTTTCCTCGCAATCGTCCACAATGGTCCTCGAACATTTAGCGTGTTCTTTAAGGTGCTGCTTGAGGATTTCGTCTCCTTTATGAATGTCATTGCCGAGACAATTCTGTTTGGTCGAGTCCTAGAACTTTTGCTTCCTAATCGATGGAATCACTAACCACTGCGCTACCCTAGCAACCCTTGCCTATAGTGGATTTTATTGACTATGAACTATATGAACTTAAAGTCACAAGAGTATCTTTACTAGCAAAATAAAGCTCCTCTTATTCTACAACGATAAAGTTTTGATTTTCGTTACCTATCCCCGCTTTTTTAGTTGACAGTCGTATCATGAATAGTGATTGCACATTGCACAAGAGCGACTTTGTTCAGAATGGTAGTATCCCCAATGTATCGCTGATGTTTTCACCTACTATGCAAACGTCAAAAAACTGGAGAATCAAAAATTCTTCAGCCAATTCTTTCTGAGTTTGAATTCCAAACGATGCTTGCACTAGGACAATTAAGAATGATCACATCCTAGCTGAGTGGTGAAGCGGAGTATCCAGTAAGCATGTCAGATATTCAAGTGCCCATGTACATAAGTAGTCGAAAAATATGCGGGAGCCGACGAAAATTGCGCGTCGACACCAATGTATTAAACGAATCCACATCATCCATTCACCTCCTCTCCTTTACGTGCATTGAAACCAATGCATACTGTCCATTATGTCAGTGTCCAACTGGTATCCTTTGCGTGTAGCAGGAGATGGTGTAGACACGAAAAAATGATATGAATAAAAACGAATGTTCAACACACTATCACCCTTGCAGCGTTAGTGCTTTAATATTCGATTATAGAAAATTATATTCTTCAAGATGTACTAAGTATTACTAGCTCCCCTCAATACCCTTAACATAATAAAAATCCATTCTTCACATTCTCTTCATCCCTATGACATATTTTTCCGTATTCATTTGATATTTATCGTAACCACTTTTGTTTTGTGAACCGAGCATACATTCATGAATAAAATAGATACTAACCAGTTCTGTAAACTTTTGACCAAATATACGTGACAAATCGGCCAGTATGGATACTGCTGCCTGAAAGATATCTCCTAATGAAAAGATCCACTACAAGTTAAACACACTCTTAGAAACTCAAAAGCCGAACAGCCTACTGTCCCATGTAACGATCAACGTACTATTAGCAAACATTCTATTCTGTTGTCATGGCACTCGACAAAGTTAGACATCTTAACCTTAGCTATCATCCCAAACGCTACTAGGAGTGTAACCTATGAACTTTGTAAAGGGGTACCACAAAAGTTTGTTTTTGAATATAAACATACATCTCGACAAATTAACCCCTGTTAAGGGTAATTTTGGAATGAGCAACATGAACTGCACTTTCCCTTCCCAGTGATTACGGCGCAGAAATGGCATATTCCTCAGTGACTGACGGGGGTCCACATATCGGGAATTCAATCATGTGACTAGCTGCATTTTCTCGGAATAGTACACGGGCCCATTCAACGTCATAGTGAGTAAAGCGGAGTGGTAACAGCTCGTAGGCACGGCCTGAACGCTGTGGCTGCGTATATGGCGAAGTGCTCCTCGTACACTCAATGAACAGAGCGGAGAAAGCACAAAAGACGATTTCCTCATACTGACGCATGTCTATGCTTGTTCTCACGTGAGAGACAGTCACATGTAAACATCCTAAAGATGGATTAAACTAAAAAATGTATCAACGCCCCTTATATCCGCATGCTAAACTGCTTCGGCGTACTTCAGTTGCTGGAGTTAAGTGTACTCGAACACCTAGTATGTTACTCGGGTTTAAAGATTCTCAACCTAACAGTGTAGTGCGAAATGTGCTTGTTTGAGCACATATCACATGCTCTCCAGTGCCTCTCGCGCGCACTATATTCGCTCGAGTTCTCCATTAGTTCAGGATTTGTCACGTGGATTGTGGATTCATCTGCGATAAAACGATAATGCCCCAAAAGCTATTAAATAACTCGAATTCAAATGAACTGTTTGAGTCACGCCAAAGTGGAGAATGGAAATCTTAAACTCTGGGTAATCAGGTCTTTCGTCACTCTTCACTAGCTGATATCACACACAGCTAATCTGATGATGTAACTACAACAACGTGCTCTCTTCATAATACGCTGTTCTATGGCCATATTCAGATACCTTCATTCCATTGTGTAACGAATAGCGAACAATGTGACTCACATACAGTTCACATACGCTAGTCAGTATGAACAAATGTGAACTGCGCCTCACCTTGTCGCTACCATAACCATCACCCTCAAAACTCATCTCCAACTCATCACTTTTCCTATTTATGACTTCGGCCTAATAAATGCGCGTCTGACCAATAAGGTTTGTCAATCAGTCGGTTAAACGTATCTATAATTGGAATTTCATTGTCTACAATGTGTTAATAAGGGCTGTGCATTCAGATCATATGAAGTGGTCCTACAGACTATTTTAAGTTTTGAAATGTTAGCCAGTTTATTGACAGACTGACAACCTAGTATCAACCACACAGAATATCCTTACATTTTTTATGATAAATTCCTATAAAAGTTTACTGCTCAGAAACACGAACTGTCTGAAATTTAATGTTTCTCATCCCCAGCAAAAGTCCATTTCCTCATGGATCCTCCTGGTTTGCCTATTCCACACCGTCTTGATTTCAAAAACCCAAAAGAATAACGGCTGAGAAATGTGGATTGCAGAAGCCCAAGTCAACAGAGAACACATCTGTTGACACCAAAATACGAAACGTGAGAACGCTGATAGTTGAACCACTAGGTATTTTCTTACGAGTCTCCGAAATTTCTGATACGTCAATTGGTGCCGCCATTAATGACGGCAATCGATATCACTCCCCGGTGCACTTTTTCAGACACGCCGCAAGTGCAGCAAAGTGTTTTTCCAACGATTAGTCTTTATAATTTTCGACTTCTCCCTTCTTCTACCCTCAGAACATGTTTCTTTTTTCAAGCCCCTCACCGCCGTTTGCCATTTCATTCGCTGGTGAAACCCCTTCGCACTCTTTCACCACAGTTATTGTTTGTTTCGCGTTTCTGTAACACTGTCCACAGTCGCGTTTACATTTTCAGTTTTTCCTTCGCATGTTCATGGTATGAAAACTCGCGCGCGCCTACTTTTCTGATGTGAACCACGTGATGTTCTAGAAATCGACTGTAGTCCACGATGAAATGATCGAAAAGCCATTGTTTGTCGGTGATCATTCCTGATGAGACAACGCGACACAGCACCTGAAACAAAGATTGGTACTATGAGCAAAGACTACTGAAGAAATGCAGTAATATGGCCTTATAGGCTTGGAAAGGCAAACCAAAAGACAGGAACACCGAGAGAGAGGCGCCTCGTTGCCCATTACAGCACATCAAAGCTGGCTGTGATATGAGCAAGTCGACAAATCACCCACCACTTTGACGTGCCGTGCCGGTGTTGAGGACTGATACACTCCTCCCTCTGTATATGTGCATACACACCCATCACATCAACCAGTTAGAATGACGATGTTAAAGGGAAGCAAAAAAAGAAGTCGCACATGATTTGCTGAGAACACAATTGACTACTATTGTGTAAAAGGGAATAAAAAAGACAAAAACGTAAGAAAGAAAAGATGGATGGATGGAAAGAAGGAGTAATGGTACAGAAACAGACCACGAGCAAGGGTAAGACAAAGCGCGGCAGCTGCTTGGCAGCCGCATTCGTAGAGACTACCGTTGCATAATTCACCAATATGTCATTTTGAATACTTTTGACTGAATCACACAGAGAAGAGTATGCGGAATGATGACTAGAAGAAGCTCCACAAGATCTGTCTGAAACCCAAAATCTCGAGTCAATTGCTCTCAGAAATGACACCAAATGTTGGCAGATAGTACGATAGATAACAAAGATAGTTTTAGAACAGAGAAAGGAGATTTGGCGCTGGAGAAGTGCATTTCACGTAGATACAAAGGGCGAAAAACAGAATAGTGATACGTCCAGAACAAAGCGTCTCACTACCCATGTCTTTCACCCTCTGAAAAACTCGCACTCTCCCAATGACACGACGTCGCTCAAACCGCGTTGCGGCGACGCGTTTTCGCCGCGCGCGCTGCCTACCCACTGCACACTCCGCACTGCTCGTGCACTCTCTACTGGAGATGTCTGCGCACTATACCTTTTGTGCACACTCTACTGTCAGATGCGTGTTTCTTCCGAGAAGAAACGCAATGCATACACTCAGAGGGCGAAGCGGCGCGCGCACAGAAAAGACCCAGCCCGCGGCAGGAGTAGTGAGAAAGTTCTGGAAGAGATGAGAATGACATGATCAGGATGGGCATTTGAGAATAACACAGCATGCACACACAGCAATCGAGCAGTACAGTCAGTCCGTACCGCAGCTATCTCCACACGTCGGTCCTCCATCCCTGGTGCGTCGCCTTTCGACTCAATAAGATCGAACAGTAGTGGTATGATCTTGTTGCGGAGCGCATCTGAAACATACTATTGATTAGTTACCATCACTGAAGAGAACAGCGAAAGGTAGGGACAATATGTTGCTAGTTCTAGTAGAGACATTCAAGTGCCGTATGAGCAACTGATAGTGCCTAGCGAAACGTCGCCGGTTTTTGGGAGAAACGAACGAAAAGAAGCGCGATAAAAGCTTTGCAGAAATACAGAGTGGTGATAAGGGCACACGGCCTATTTTGGACTATCATGGTAGACAAAACAAAGGAAAACAGAAACGATTAATAGAAAGCATGACGCAATTTCCTCACCTTGAGGAATGAGGCCTCGCTCGAGCAGCACGCCAACGCCAAAAACAGCCCGATTGCTTGTCTAAAACAGAGACGTAGTTCTGAATCAGCACCAGTCAGACCAGATATGGACTGCCGAATAGGACAGAATACCACAAAAAGTAGGGTATTATCTGAGATAGCTTTGTGAAGAGAGTGACAGAGATGCAGGCATGACAGGGACGGGAGGAGGAGAAATGGTGTGGAGCGAGCCGTCGTCCGGATGGCGCGGCGTCGGGCGGGGAGCAGCAGCAAGCGCACACACACGCACGCGCGCTCGCCGACGCTGTTGAGGCGAAGGCGGGCGCACCGTGCAACGCCGGCCAATCAGCGCGGCGCTGGCAGCAGCGCGGCGGCAACTGCCAGCCGCCGCCGGGCGGGGTAGGGACACAGACACGACGCGGCGCGAGCGGCCGCCAGGCGAACAAGAACGCGCGTGGCCAAAAACGACTGCGAAAAACGAGGAGAGACGCAGACGGTCGTGCGACGCGAGACACGATGCCGCGGCGAGAGGTACAGTGGGGTGAACGCCGCTAGCAAAACGAGGCTGCCGGCTGGCTGGCTGGCAGGCCACAGATCGAGCGCGCCCGTCGGTGTGCGTGTCGGGGACGGACTGCTCGGAGGAATTGTCGCGAATGGATCCGGTGCTGAAATCGACAATGTACACAACACACTACGGCACATACACTCAGTGTTATCCATTATCGCCTTATTCCTTCACAAGACCATAACGTTCCCAAGCACAGTTGCCTTAGGAGAGAACTGAATGTATTGCGGGACGTCATGGTAAACGTGCACCGGTAGCGTCGAATGGGGCTGAGTGTATTTCGCACATTCAAGGTTAGACATTACAAAAAACGGGACCGGTTTTCGTGGTGCGGAGAAAGCGATGACCCTGGCTTAGAAATCGTCCGACCTTCGAGCTGCAATCGAGCAAAGGACGCAGAAAAGCAAATACCTAACACCGTCGGTCGGTCTGTCTGTCTGCCGTCACATCTCAAAATGAACGATCGCTATTACTAGGAAGAACTATTTGGATATGAGTCTTAAAATTCAACTCTTAAAATGGATCTCAAAGGTAGAAACGTATTACATTTTAAAAAGAAGAGTGTTCACCTAGTTGATATTATGAAGCAGTTATACTAAGTTGCCAAAAAAAGAAAAATGTTAATCGATGTCATGAAGGGCAGACGCAAGAGAAATACTAGAGCTATCCCTACTAATTACCTACTAATCTGCCACTTCATGGTTCAGAGCTCAACTAAGCATCACAAGCGTTGGCAATTTGTTGCTCCAAAACAACTTTTAAAAAAGACCTTTAATTATCGGCTGTAACGCATCGATCAGACCCTGTACCACTGCCCTATGTCTCTGACTCCATTCCCACACAACAGTCGTCTGTTTCGTTTCTCTTCTAATCTATTTCTTCTATTCGCACAGGACTTTCTGGGACAAACTGATGTCAGGACTTATCTGTACATTCGTAACAAAGAAGTTGTAGCAAAACGTAGTCCTTTAGCAAAAACAATATGTTCGCAAGAACAAACAGTTTTTGCGGCTTTCAACGAACAAGTTTTCGCTAGTAGTGAACTTCATTGACTGAGGTAAAAATCTGTAAAATCGGTCGATATTCGCCAAGAATGAAATCTTCACATCTGACTTATATTACACTTTTTCGACTTTTAGTCGATATATGTATGCATACATATATCAACAATTTTTGAATGTTACCCTAAGCAACTGCCGCTTAGAAAAAAGCGGACGGCCCCAATGACGAAAAAAATCGAACCGAAACCACGTCGACGATGAGCGGCGCAAAAAAAACCCTGTGAGAGAGCGTAGGGAATGTACGACCAGAAAGAATTCTAACATCACGACTGGTTCCGTTAAGTTGGTTACAATTCGCTAAGATCTTCATCACAAAGAAGGGAAGTCCATCTCCATTACATCCATCCCTAAGCCCCAACGTAGTGGACCACATGGACCGGTTCTGTTTTTCCATTAAAACAACTATCAATCTGACAACTTTCATGTTATGATCTTTTGAAAGTCATACTTTTGACTACACATTACCCATTTGTAGCTAAAGTTTTGCCAGCTTCAAAAATCAATCATGCAAATGCAAACACTCGAAAATTGTGAGCTTTGATCGCAACTGCCTAGTTTCATTGCCATATGGCAGCTACACAGCCGCGATTCGATACGCACCAGTGTTTGAAGCATTATTCTAAGAGAGTTCAAATCTCTTAACAGCATTATAGAAAAATAAGATCTTTTTAGCTTATCCCCGTCAGATTTACGACCATACTCAGAACTTATAGCAGCTTGAAAACTGTCACTTTCAATTTGAATAAAACCCATGTATTTCAACCGGAGTTCACCAATTTAATAATGACTGGAAGTGTTCAAATGAATCCGTGACCCTGAGTTGGCGACTTTTGCACTGCAGAGAAGCAATCCGCTCGTCAATCGGAATACGTTCTTCTTCCATAGAGTGTGCAGAACTTTAGCAACAGCAAAGTCAGACACATCCCCAGGAATCCGTCCACTTGCTTATTCCGAAAATAACCGTTTTTAGCACAAGAAAATGGAAATGACTTCCATAGGAAACTATGTCTCCTATACCTAGAACGCCTTCGAAAGAATATCGATGTAAAGCTTCTTACAACTAAAACTCTCTGGTGATTACATGGACATCTAAGCAGCTCTGCTATTAAAAAAGAGGATTTAACACGGATACGAATAGGTTAAAAAATATTCGAGAACAAAAACCAGTCATCAAAATCCACTGAGGAGATTATTTCTAGCATAATTTCTTAGTAATCGTACCACAACAGTTTCATTTTTTCTACTGTTCCAAAATATAGTTATTTGGAACACTCTGGAAAAAGTATAACGCGCTTATTAAAGCCACAATAGAAGTAATTTTGCTAAAACAATGGAAATCAAGTCACTGTACAAAATCAGAAATGATGCGCTATGAAAAATAACTTCGAAACCCGAGAATAACAAACCCAGCAGTCTTAGAAAGGTTACGTGAAGTTCAACTGCGCTGTAATGCCAATCATTCTTTTGCGTCTGTTCAGATCTCTGCCGTTTCCACCATGAATTGTTAGTCTGCGTTTCGGAATAACTTGATAATTTCACCTTCACACGAAATACAACTTGTTGCAGTATTAACAAATTTGTTAATCCCGTGAACCGTCCCTTTGAGTCTGCGGTATCGTGAATATGCAGAACCAAAAATCCAATACACAAGGTTATTTCCCACTATTTTAAAGACGTAAAGAAGAATTACCAAACAGTCAGCAAATTATATGCAAATCAATGCTTTTGACGGGTGACTGTTGATGGTACCGAAAGATAGAAAATTAGCTGAGAAACAGACGAAACGAAGTTTCCGCATGGTGTGGTGGTGAACGCGTTAGCACCGGAAAGGGTAATAGTGTTCAGTCCCCACTGTAGACAATTGCGATCGGAAGTTTTACAAATATCCCAGCATCATTATGATTGTATTTCACATAATACCCAGCCGCGAAAAATTGTAGTAAACAGTAAATAAAAAGTTAACACATGTGCAAATTATCTGAACATACGATTCGATGACGGTTTGTGCAATTTCATCTATACGGAGACTCTCAAGATAATAGAGTTATCGCCAGATGTCACCAAACAAAGCACACAACTTATTTGAAAAAATATTTTGCCGCTCTTCACCGTGTTCTTCAAATTTAAGGAACCTCATAGCTCTACTGATAATCCACTATAGTGATGGACTAGTTCACTTTGAGTGGAAATCATAAGAATGACAACATCATCTCAATTGCATCACAAAACTTTCCAAAATGTCTTATTTACTTGGAAACTTGGAGGCCCATCCTCACTGGTTGTGCGGTGCCCAGCATAATCTCCATTTTTCAGTTTTGCTGGTTTGACCACGGTATTACCCTAGAGCGAGGTCAACCTAGCCAAAG